TCCGATTTCCAGTTCTCTGTATGGAAAGACAGACCTTACATCTTTCCCATTGGAAAGACAACCCTGTCTTTCATTGTTTACCATTCCTGGTTTCCCTGGAGATCTGCAGGCTCAAGGGCCTTTGTGCTATGCTCCCAACATTGTTAACTGACGTAAGGCTGCTGGAAATTGAACTCAGATCCTCTGGAATAACAGCCAGTGTTGTTCATTGCTGAGCCATTTCTCCAGCCTGTTTCTGTAGCTTTTAAAAACTTTATTTCTTATAATTTTATGTGTATGTGTGTGCACTGCAAGCATGTAGGTGCTCCTGGAGGCCAGAAGAGGGCATCGGGTGTCCTGGAACTACAGGGGTTGTGAGCAGCCATTGTGGGTGCTGGGAAACAAACTGGTTCTCTGCAAGAGCAACAAATGCATGTAACCACCGAACCATCTCTCCATCTTTGTGATCCTTTGTTAAAATACTCTACCAGAAAACTACCAGGTCTAGTAGCACTTTCAGCAAGGTGTCAGCATGCAGGAAAATGAGTCGTTTTTCTATATAACAGTAATGGTCACACTAAGAATGAAACCTGGAAGCCAAGCATGGTGATGCATGCTGAAGCATGATTAATAAAGACTCAGAGAAATTGGGGTTCAACCTGAAGATCAAAAAAGCAAAACAGCCAGCCACTGGCTTGACCTAAGTCTGAAATGGTGATCCAGGAATCTCAGAATGAGACTGTGTCTGAGAGCTGTTTTCTCCCGTTTTATAATCCTCTCTAGGGCTGGGATTAAAGGCATGCGCTACCTGATTTCTATGGCAAACTAGTGTGGCTACTGGGATTAAAGGTGTGTGATAACATAGCCTGGTCTGTAAGGTTGACCAGTGGGGCTGTTTTACTCTCTGATCTTCAGGCAAATTTTATTTATTAAAATACAAATGAAATGCCACCACAACATGCCTTTAATCCCAGCACTCAGGAAGCAGTGGCAGGTGGATCTCTGAGTTTGAGGCCTAGACTACAGAGCACGTTGCAGCACAACCAGGACTACACAGAGAAACTCTGTCTCAAAAAACCAAATAAGTAAACAGAAAGAAACCTGGAGAACAATCCCTCATGAGTTTTACACAGTTAAGAACAAAATGTCTCAAGGACAACCAGCCTGTAAAGAAAGGAAGGACTTCTACAGTGAACTTTTAAAACTTGGAGAAAGAAGTAAAAGAAAGTATCAGAAGTACTTGGTGTCGAGCGTCAGCCGAGTTCATGTGGAAGTGCTCTGCCACCACAGATTACTACGCTAAGGGGAGTAAGCTAAGCTCTCAAATGCAGAGTCTGGACTTAGTAAAACTTGATAAAAACTGGCGGGCGTGGAGATGGCTCCCCAGTCTTCTAAGGAACATCTTCCTCCAGCAAAGGACTAGCCTGACAGCTTGAGTTTGACCCAGATAGTGGGAGGAGAATAGGAGAAGACTGACTTCTGAAGATTTCTTCTACTTCCCTACTGGTGCTGTGTTTCATGTACACACACACACACCACCCCATAAGCGTGTGTACATATTCACATGTACTCACACATGCATTGCTGTATACCTTAAATAAACATAATTTTAAGATAAATAAGCAAAGATGAAAAGGCGTGGGGGAAGGAAGATTCCTTCTACGGGAAGAAATGCTTCTCTTGGAGTGAGGGAAGACACCTTGTGATTCAGACACCATGAGAAAAGCCTTCTAATTGATTCTTGGGAACTTGGTATCTAGGAAGAAATTGAATGGTGTTGTCTTTTGTATTCTTCCTTGTTTGCCCTGTTATCCCAGTGAAGGTCGTGAGTAGAGAGGGAAGCTGATGTGTGCACTGCGGTTCCTGTTAGAGGCCGCAGTGTGGGAAGAGTGGGCAGGAAGTTTCCATCTCCTACTTGTCCCGTCCACTAGCCTGGCCGCTGACCTCTGCTCTCTGCACTGACTGTCTGCAGCGTTCTAAAGACTCATGCTCTTGAGGAACAGCGCTCAGTGGTGATCACACATGCACACACACACACACACACATGCACGCACGCACGCAGAGCTTGGTAAATGGGAAGTGAGTTCCTGTTAGAGAAGGAAACGCACTGGTGCCCTTTAAGAAGCAGGGGTTGGTGCATTTGAAATGTCATTCAGTCTATCTGCATATGAGGCACGCATTATTTTTTTTAGAGTACTTTTTTGTTTTGGGAACATTGTGCTACATTCCTGTTATGTGCAACGATTACCTGATTAATTTGGACTGCTGGTGGACTGCTGGTGAGTGGCTTACAGTTTCTTAAGTGGTGGTGTAAGTTTTTAAGCTGTTTTTGTAACCTAAATTTGAAACATTCCCAGGATTTTATAATGTCAGAGATCTTGAAAGTGTATAAGTCACCCTCTTTTAGAAATAGAAAGGAGCAAGTTGTTCAGTATGGTCTAGGGGGTCTGTTATGTTATTGGTGCTGGCTTTCAACTCTGGGACGTCATCTACCCTCTTTCCTCAGCCTCCCGAACAGCCAGGACTCAAGGTCCAGTCTACTGGACCTCATCTACATATTGGCCAGTGTTTAGAACGTCATGTATCCGTATAAATACACCCTTTCTCCTCTGGTGCAGTATTCACAAAATGTGGATGTATTGAGACTTCACAGTTGTCTTGACCACTGACTCTTAGCCTCGACTTAGTGTTGATGAGAGTGGTTGCCTCTGGCACCTCAAACATCATGTTGATAGACACAGGGTTTTCTCTCTATTTCTGTGTTGGGTGAAGGTTCATCTTACTTCTTTCTTCTTTTTTTCTGATGAAAATCAGCTGATTGTTTGGTGTCTGATTCATGAAACATCTCTTAGCTTTGAAAATCCTCCGATTTGTTCTTGGTCCTTTCTTTGTGTTGTCTAGATAGATTGTTATGTACCCTGTCACAGGGTCTCACTATGTAACCTAGGATGATTTGTTATCTACTACTTTGCCCCTGATTACTGGGATTTTAGGTGTTCCACAGACCTATATCCTGTCTCCCTGAGTGCTGGGATTACAGGTGTATGCCAGGGTACCTGTCTCCCGTCTCCGTGAGTGCTGGGATTGCAGGTGTATGTCAGGGTACCTGTCTCCTGTCTCCCTGAGTGCTGGGATTACAGGTGTATGCCAGGGTACCTGTCTCCTGTCTCTCTTCATGGTCTAGTGGAAGGAACACTTGCAACAATGTTTGAAGTGACAGCGATTGTTAATTGGAGTGTGTTGGTGGGAGCAGTTTGTGACTCAGCCGTAGTTGCATGTTGTATTCCCTCAGACACAGTTCACATGCTCGTCTGGTTGTTAACTCACTGCCTGCAGCTGGTAAGGAGCCACAGGCATCAAATGTAAGTTGTTCTTTTAGTTTCAGAAAATGTTTGAAATGTAGGCTTATCAGGAAAACAGTTTAAGTTTTTCATTTTAAACACCAACTATGTTTTCATTGACATCTGTGAGAGCTGCTACAAGGAAAATTACCATGAATTACACATACATGTAGGCTGTATTAACAATGCCCGTCTTCAGATTGTGTGGTAAATAGAGAGTCACAGATGAACTCAGACTGCTGTGGATCGGGCAGGTTTCCCAGGACTCGCTACACTCAGCACGCTTGTGCTGGATGAGTTTCTCCTGTGCTTCATCACACAGTGCACGCTTCTACTGTCTGGCCGGTTAGGACCTGCCAGAGGTCCTAAGGTAAGGCACACCCAGACTCTGGTTGCTGCCTCAGAACGATTGTACCCTGCTTTAGCTTCCCCAGGCTACCTTTGTCCAGGATCCAGTGAGGTACCCTGCAAATCAGAGGCCTGCCCTTTCCTCTAGACTGCCCCTTAGCCTCCTTCCTCCCTTTCTTTTAAAATTTTTATCAGGCTGTATTATAAATTCTAGTAAATCAGGTTTGTTAGCCTCTGTCCTGAAGTCTTGGCTCTATAACGTTATTTCCACACCCTGCTTTCATTCTCTCTCAGGTCAGCTATGTGGAGTTCCCAGTGCAGGGTGGTTTATTCCTGGATTTCCCAAAGTTAATGATGCATTCCTCTGAGTGCATAGCATATTATTGCTATCTCAGTTCCTGGGCCTTTTAGTTTCTGTACTTTGTCTGCATGAGGTTGGAGGAGAAACGTTTCTATCATGATTCTGATTATTTCCGTCTTTATCATCTTCCATATGTGATGTGTGGTTTTTGCTTTTCTCCCCCCCCCCTTTTTTTTAAGAATTCCCTGACTTCTTCCTCCGTCTTAAACTTCTTGTGATCTTTGTATGTAACAGATGAGTGTGGTAGTTCAACACCCAGTTTGGTTTGTGATCTGTTTGAGGTTAACCTCAGCTTTACTCAGTATCCTTGAACCTAAACCACTGTGATGTTTGGCCTTTGTGTGGGAATAGTCACTGCAAACAGGAACAGTGTTCCATACTGCCCCCTGCAGGTGTAGTGAAGGCTGTGGGTGCAGGTAGCAATCTAAGCTGGAAGACAGCCCAGGGGAGCTTACTCCTTGCAGGATTTTTGTTTCCTTCCACTTTGGTATTTTCTGTAAGTTCTGGCCTGTTGTCAATGCTGAGTGAAGTCCGTTCAGGTCTAAGTAGCTGTCCTGGAAGTGAGAGATAGTATCCCATAGTCGCTTAGAGCGTCTTTCCTGAGGTGATGGATTCTAATATTGTCTGGCCACTTGTTTCTGCCCAAGTGATGCTCTCGGTTTGGCTTATGAACCTGCGGTTGACTCTAGCTGTTCTATAGTCAGCAGCGATTCCTAGTCCTTCTGATTTATAAGGTGCCCTCCCTAGAAAGGCCAGGTCCCATTGACAGGCTAGAACATGTTTATAAGAGATCACTGGTTGGGCTGGGAGCAGATAAAGCATCGGTGAGCTCCAGTCTGGCTGCATGGGTGTTTGTGCTTCACCGTGGATGCCGGGCTCCTAACAGGCTTTCTGCTGCAGAGTGTCAGGCTTCTCTGTAGGAATGGTCGCTAAGAGGTAAGCATTGTCAATGTTTTTTCTCTTCTCCAAAGTTTGGGAGCCTCTGGTGGAGCAAGTAACTGGGATTCGTACAGTGATCATTTCACCATTGAGACCTGCAAGGAGACAGACATGCTGAACTACCTCATCGAGTGTTTTGACCGAGTTGGAATAGAGGAAAAAAAAGCACCAAAGGTACTGTGAAGTGGATGGACCAGAAAGAAAGCAAACTGGTTATCTTGTGTACGTGCTTGTTGCTGCTCCAGGGGAAGCTGGATTAGTCAGGAGTGATGGAGCAGCTGGTAGGTACCAGGCAGAACACTGGCAGCTCAGGATCTGTCTGTAACACATTGCTGTGGAGAGAAGTGATGCCAGAGCTTAGACATGAGCGCATGCGCCTTGGCTCTGGAGGCCTCTCCTTTGTCTGCCCTGTGTCATACATGGTCAGGAAGCTCACAGACATCTAAATCCATAATCAGCTAGGCCCTTGTTTCTGGGATGTGGTGAATGTCATGGTGGACAAGTGTGGTACAGCCATGTTGCTGTTATCATGGTGGCTTGGAAGCAAAGAAAAACAGGAAGAGCCCCAGGATGAGCTGTATCACTCAGTCACACGTTGATCTATGTCCCTTTATGAGGCCTTACCTACCAGGTCTGCTGTGTCATCAGCAGCACCTGATGACACAGAGTCACAGCCATGGTGATCTCCTCGCCCTCCAGTTCTCGTCAGCAGGCGAGACCTGTAACATGTAACATGCGAGCCTTCAGGGGACATGCTTATCTTGAAACCAAAGTACCAATTGCCTGATATAATTCTGAAAACATCCAAAGCAATGTTGTGGATTCTAGAACCTGTAATCAGTCCATGAGCTTGGATTTTCACAGTTGCCCAGTGAATCCGAGCAGCCATGTATGAGTAAGAGCTGCCCCTCAGAGGTGGAGCTCTAATTGTCAGAATTATTAAATAACAAGCTGTAGAATCACGCTAAACCAAGGAAGCATTACCCTCCCCCAGCCCCTTATTTTGAGATGGAGTTTCACTAGATAGCCCTGGCAGGCCTCGAACTCACAGAGATCCACTTGCCTCTGGCACCTGGGATCAACGGCATGTGCCACCACACCTGGCCCATCTCATTCCCTACCATTTCACTGTTTAACTTTGCCTGTGTTAGTTTTAAATTTGTGGGGCCTCTTCAGGGATTGTCCTTAGTCTTAGCAAAAGCAAAGACATGCTAGGTAGAAGTGGTGATGCACACTTTTCAGTTCTGCACTCTGGGAGCCCGGGACAGGAGGATTGCTGTGAGTTTGAAACCAAACCGGGCTATTGTATGAAAGACCCTGCCTCAAAGTATGATCTAACACCCTGAAAAGGAAATAGCTTGGGTGTGCCCCCCCCCCCCCATTCTGCTCCGTGTTCCCTTACTACCTCAGTACAGGTGGCACAGGCCAGTGGCACACTTCCTGTGCTTTGTCCATTCTGAGTCTAGGGAGAGGGAAGCGGGGCATTTTCTAGCCATTGCTCTCCTCCAGCCCTTTTCCGGTGTGTCATCCTGACTCTGACTTTCTTCTCCAGATGTGCAGCCAGCCAGCAGTCAGCCAGCTTCTGAGCAACATCCGCTCGCAGTGCATCTCCCACACCGCGCTAGTGCTGCAAGGTTCCCTCACACAGCCCAGGTATGACTGACTCACACGTTGCGTGTTTCTGGTGTTTGGAGGGAGGGCCATCTCTCACTGGATTCCGTCTTCCAGCTGTTTCATGCTAGGCTAGATAACTCTGTGACCTGTACAGGGAATGGGTTTGATTCAGTCTTCAAAGCTCAGGCTGGAGATAGTTCAGTGGTTAAGAGCACTGGCTGCTCTTGCTGAATGAAGTCTTGGGTTCGATCCCCAACATATACTTGGTGGGTAATAGTATCTGTAACCCCAGTTCCAGGAGATCTGATGCCCTCTTCTGGCCTCTGAGGACACTGTATACATGTGGTATAATACATAGACATACATACAGGACAAACACTCACACATAAGATAAAAATAGATCCATCTAAGGCCTGAGTCTTTCCTCCATGAATACTGTGGTAATAAAATAATGTTTTCATCTTCTAAATAGTATAGAGCCTATTTTGGAAAAGAAGTTAGTTACCTTTTAAGAGTTCTGTGTACCTTTGAAATATGAAGAACTAAGGCAGAATATTAATAATTTAATTTAAAACCTAGTGTTTGAAGTTAGTGTGTGTTTGTGACAAAATGATCATGTTCCCTGTGTCTCCACGTTGGTTTCTGTTACTAGGTGTTAGAGAATAGTGTGGGGAACCAGGTGAGGGGCCACATACCTATATTCCTGGCAAGAGGATCGCTACCAATTCAAGGCCAGTCTGGCCTAAGCAGTAAGTTTTAGGCCAGCCTGGATTTAATGGTGAGACCCTTCATAAAGACAAGATAAAATAAAATACAGTACGGAAATGATTTGGAAATTGGCCAAAGTTCTGTGATTTGCCTGTATCAGAAAATTCTGTATCACTGTCAACATTAGTAAAAGATTGCATTTTTTTTTTTTTTTTTTTGGTTTTTCGAGACAGGGTTTCTCTGTGGTTTTGGAGCCTGTCCTGGAACTAGCTCTTGTAGACCAGGCTGGCCTCGAACTCACAGAGATCCGCCTGCCTCTGCCTCCCAAGTGCTGGGATTAAAGGCGTGCGCCACCACCGCCCGGCAAAAGATTGCATTTTTAAAATGTTTTATTTTACGTGCGTGCACGGGTGTTTTATCTGCTTGTATATCTGTGTATCACGTGCATGCCCGGTGGCCACAGAGGCCAGAAGAAACCATTGGCTCCCTCTGGAACTGGAGTTAGAGACAATTGTTAACTTCTATGTGGGCACTGGGAATTGAATCCAGGTCCTTTGGAAGAACAGCAGTATTCTTTAAGGACTGGTATCAATCCCTCTAGTCCTGCGTTTGCTGTTTTTTATGCAAAAATAGCTAAAGGAAAAATGGAAAAAATTGCATTTTTCCTTTCTGCTATACCCTGTACTATAACTATGTTTTGTTTTCTTTTCAAATGAAGGAAAATTAAGCTGTATGATGCCACATGTCTATAATCCCAGAATTTGGGAGGTCTAGGTTGAGCATTTCTTGAAGTCTGCTGGACTCCATAGTGATTTCTTGGCTTTAAAAAGCAAGAACATGCTGGGCAGTGGTGTCTCATGCCTTTAACCCCAGCACTCAGGAGATAGAGGCAGGCAGATCTCTGTGAGTTCGAGGCCAGCCTGGTCTATAGAGTGAGTTCCAGTTACACAGTGAAGCCTTGTCTCAAAAAACTAACCAAAATAAATCAAACAAAAAAACAAGTAACAAAAAAGAAAAAGTGGGGGCTGGAGAGATGGCTCAGTGGTAGCCGGGCGATGGTGGCGCACGCCTTTAATCCCAGCACTCGGGAGGCAGAGGCAGGTGGATCTCTGTGAGTTCGAGACCAACCTGGTCTACAGAGCTAGTTCCAGGACAGGCCCCAAAGCCACAGAGAAACCCTGTCTCGAAAAACCAAAAAAAAAAAAAAAAAAAAAAAAAAAGCATTGTCTGCTCTTCCAAAGGTCCTGAGTTCAAGTCCCTGCAACCACATGGTGGCTCACAACCATCTGTAAAGAGGTCTGGTGCCCTCTTCTGGCCTGCAGACATGCACACAGACAGAATATTGTATATATAATAAATAAATAAATATTTTAAAAAAAAGAAAAAGTGTTTACTAATCTTCTTTTCCTCAATGTGGATGAGACATAAACAAATAAATGAACAACAATTCTTTTTCATTGTTTAAAGGAGTTTTAGGTTCACTGTGTGTACATTTTGCTTGTGTGTGTGTGTGTGCGCGCGCGTGCACGCCGGGTGCTTGTGGTGCTCTTGGACGTCAGAAGAAGGCGTTAGATCTCCTGGAACTGGAGTTAAAAACAGTTGTGAGCCACCACACAGGTGCCGGAAACCAAACATACCTTCTATAGGAGCTCTTAAGTACCGAACCATCTCTCTCATTCCCGTAATTCATTTTAGGTGCGTTTATTATTTATTTTCCGCTGCCAAGGATCTGACCTGGGGTTTCGCACTTGCTAGTAAAGTGTCTTGTGGCTGAGGTCCCAGCCCTGACTCTTCACTTTGATAGGACTCCACAAAGAAAGAGTTGCTTGTGTTATTTCTTCTGGTGTCTCATTTAAAATGTACGTTTGTGTGACTGGGTAGTCTATGGGCCATGGTGTTCCACGTGCTTCCATCACAGCCCTTGCTTCTCCTGGGTCTGCAGGTCCTTGCAGCAGCCGTCCTTCCTCGTGCCGTACATGCTGTGCAGGAACCTCCCCTATGGCTTCATTCAGGAGCTGGTGAGGACCACTCACCAGGATGAAGAGGTGTTCAAGCAGGTACAGTGGCCAGTGGGTACTCCACCTCTTAGCTACGTGCATCTGCCCCGAGTCATGGAGTAGGGGAGGGACTCATGCAGCTCCCCCCTCCCCTGTAGTTAGTGGTGGCTGGGGGATGGGATGGAAAGATACTTTCTCTCTCAAGTGATACAGCCACTGATAAAGGTGCCCATTCTCCTATGAACAGCCGATCCCCGTGTTTCTTCAGGTGGCCCTAAGTAAACTTATTGGGTCAGAAGAAGAAGGTGTGTGGGAGGGTGCGGGGATATGAAAATAGTGAAGGGACTGGTTAAGAGGCATGAATGGGAAGGAGACATGGGAGTGTAATGCGGTGAATACGATAAACATACATTAGGTTTTTGTATTAAAATTCCATAAAAAGCCACACATGATTAATATATGCTAAAAAGGAAACAAATAAGAACATCAAATGTGGGAAATGCCTCTGCCTAGATTTCACTGTGTATGTTATCAGTTGACATGATTCCCTTGACTTTGTTTTATAGCTAGTATATTCATAAGTCTTGATTTTAAGACCTTTGAATTTTTAAATATTTGTAAAAGCACAATCCATCTCACATCAGGTGTGGTGGTGAATGCCTTTAATCCCAGCACTCACCGGTCAGAACCTGCTAAATCTCCATGAATTAGAAACCAGCCTGGTCTACACAGTAAGTTCCGGGCCAGCCAGGGCTACATAGTGAGACTTCATCTGAATGGGGGGAGGGGACAATTCAGGACTCCAGAAGAAAAGTTATGTTTCAGGGTATGCCCTCTCTGACGTTGTTAGCTGTGGCCTTTTGTGATGTCTGTGGGCATGCAGAAACAATAAAGTGGCACCATGAGCTCTTTCTCCTTAGGGAGATAAGTGAACTCCAGTGCACAAAAAAATTGTCTCAGGAGGTTTAAATGAAGCGGCCTTTAGGTGTGGTCAGCATTAATGAATACTTTTTTCCATAAAAGCCGGCATTTGAAGAACCCAGAGTAGTTTTAAAAATCAGGCCCAAAATCACCTGAAATGGACATGTTATGCTTATGTTATTGATAAACTTGAGTTTTATGTGGAGAGAAGCCCTGCAGAAACAGAGCTGCTGACTGCGTTGGGCCGAGTCCTCCCTTTTTGCCTAACAATGGCAGATGTGATTTGCTAAGTCCTCTCCCGGCCTCCACTTTCCTTTTAATGTTGGGTGGTGCTTTCTACGACTGACTGCGAGGCGCTCACTCGGGAAGTAACAGAGTGCTTTGCAGTGTTGCAGGTACAAAAATAATGTGGCACCAGGCTGCGGCTGCCTTCATGGGCAAACGCGCTTGCTGTGTAGGCCAGGTTCCCTGGAGTTGGTCCCTGAACACACAGTAGAGGTAGTACTGACTCCCAAAAGTTGCCCTGTGACCTCCACGTTTAGTATGCACACACCCACTTATACACACATTACACAAACACAGTAAGTTAAATTGAAACAATAACAATCCTTGATGTGTTTTGGGAAACATTTTATTCTTATTCTTCTTTTGCCTGCTTATTATCTAATAAGCTCTTACCTGCACAAGGGGATACTCTACTAAAAAAAAGTAAAGTATTTTTTTTTTTTTTGATTTTTCGAGACAGGGTTTCTCCGTAGCTTTTGGTTCCTGTCCTGGAACTAGCTCTTGTAGACCAGGCTGGCCTCGAACTCACAGAGATCCGCCTGCCTCTGCCTCCCGAGTGCTGGGATTAAAGGCGTGCGCCACCACCGCCCGGCTTAGTAAAGTATTTCTTAAAGCATACCTAAAGATTTTTCAGATGGACAGTTATTGGCATTTATCTGTGGGATTCTAGAACTTGTTTTGTCTTTTCCTCTTGGAGGCAGTTTTGGCATCTCCTGCTCCCGTGCTGACTGTTACTCCCCATTTGGAGCTAGCTTACGAAGGCACATTACTTCTGCCCTGAAACCCCAGTTACAGAAACCACGTTGATCTCTCCCAGAGCCCTTTTGATAGCACAAAATGCTCCACAGGCGCGTGTGATCTTGGGCACTGTTTTTGGTCCCGTGTCTTCTCTTGTGCTGAAAATTCTCTGTCCTAAGGGGCGGGTCCAGGTTTTCTAGTGGCTTCACATAAGCTCCTTTTCCAGCTCATGTGCAGATTGCCAGCTGCTGTGCTCATTCATTTTCCCCTTGATGTTGTTGTCTTGGGTTTCAGCCCACTCGTATTGTGTGGCTCAGTGACAGGGCGCTGTGAAGTTTAAGGTGGGCAGTGCTGAGCAGGGCTTGCACTCTGTTAGCGTATCATACCAGCCTTGTGTGTGTCTGTGCCCTTCGGGTCCAGATCAGGTGACTGTGCTAATTGCACTGTGTATGCAGGTGAGGCATTCTTGGTCACCATTTGTCTTTCAGTTTGAACATTCATCAGCTGTCTCCCTGCTCTCGGTTAAGCTGAATGTAACAAACAGAACAAAACTGGTTTTCTAGTGTATGTGGATTTGAGGAGAAGGTGGAACACTTAGGTACTTTTCCTACAGATCATAGGTCTGTGTTAATCAGTAACAGTAACTCGGGGAGGAGGGGGGTGCTGGTGAGGTGTGCGGGCGTCCACAGTGAGGCAGGGACCCCTCACAGTTACCTGTGCTGGCTGTTGTTGGATGTCAGTGTCCCGCTGGAGTGTTCGTGCTCATCAGCATCCTTTTCTGGAAAACTCAGCTCCTTTACTCTGTGGTGAGTTTGAGTGACAGGTCAGCACTCAAGAATTCTACAATCCTTTGTAAGGAAGAAAGGAAGAAAGGTTTCTTCTGGGGGAAGAGCAGGAGTGCCTGGCCCCACGGCCCCAGTACCTTGCCCGACATGCTTTGTTTGCCTTCGGTCTAACGTCTGTGCCTTTCTTTCTTACAGATCTTTATCCCTGTTTTACAAGGCCTGGCTCTGGCTGCCAAGGAGTGCTCTCTCGACAGTGACTACTTCAAATACCCCCTCATGGTAAAAGACACTTTCTCTTAGATCTCTGTTCAGGCTTGTTTTCAAATGTTTTAGTTTTTGAGACAGTCTCATGTCTTCAGGCTGAAGATGACCGTTGATTCTGGTCCCACCGCCTCTACCTTTCATGTGTTGCAGTGACGGTGTGGATTAATCCCGCATTCACATGTAAAGCCCGGAGCCTGGTGTGGCCAGATGGAATGCGGTTGTGTGCTGAGCTGCCTGGGTGCATTGTAGCCCTCTGCACTCCACCCCTGCCAGTCCCAGACGCAGCAAGTGAAGCTCTAATGCCAGCGTGCTTTGCCAGCCTAGATTGCTAGCACAGAGCATCACTCTTGGGGGCAACTTGCTGATTTTCAGAACGGCAAACAAACCATACTTGGGATTTCAAAGAGAAACCCTTAAGAGTCTGGCTCATCTTAAAATGCTTGCTGTGCAAGCGTAAACCCACGTAAGGATGAGGGAGAGTACCAACTCCGTAAGTTCTCCTCTGTCTTGCACACACATTCTTTATCCCCCCACACACAGTAAAAATAGATGGAAAAACAGCATCAGCAAATTGGGGCTGGAGAAGTGGCTCAGCAGTTATGAGTGTTTGTTGCTCTTCTATGTTACCTGGGCTTGGTTTGCAAAACTGCCTGTAACTCCAACCCCATGAACTTTGCCTTCTTCTGGCCTACACCATACCTGCACTCAGGAGGCACATGTACATGTGCACATAAATGAAAATAAATCTTTTTTAGAAATCCCCAATGAATGAAACCATTTTAATATCTCCCTGTGTAGCCCAGGCTAGCCCTGTACTCACGAACCTCCTTCTGCTTCCTAAGTGCTTGGCTTAGAGTTGTGTGTGCTCTTGACCAGTAGGGGGAAAATCTTATTTACTGAGCCACAGCTAGTTCAGTAGGCTAAAATATTTGCCACATGATTCTGTGACTTGAGTTTGCTTCCTGTGGCTGCACATGAAAGGCCAGATATGGGGGCTTGTAACTGTAGTCCCAGTACATCTCGGGGAAGGTCAGAGGTGGACACAGGACAACTGGCCAAAAGCTCATGGACCAACTAGCTTGGAATAGCAAAGTGCAGTGACAGAAATCAGAGATTCTGCCCCCAAACAAGGTGGAAGACAATAAAACTCCGAAAGTTTTATTCTGACTTCCCAACATGTGCTGTGGCATATGTGTGCTCACTTGCATACACACATATGCGCACATACTCACACTAAGTGAATCTGTTAACCTATGAATAGAGCCTGGGAGATGACTTAGTAGTCAGAGTGCTTGCCTGAACATCAGGAAGACTGAACCCACATAAATCTGGGCGTGTCGAGTGCCCTGCTTGTCATTCTAGCCTTAGAAGATGGAGCTGGAAGATCCCTGGATCAGGCCAGCTAGAGAAACTAGCCATTGTTGCTGACCTGGGAGTTTGATGGAGAGATTCTGCCTCAGTGAGAATAAGCTGGAAGATTCCCAACATCACTCCCGTTTCTCCACCCACATGAGCACACATGTGCATCCTTGCAAACACCCATCCCCCCCCCCAAACGGATTACTAGGGGTAAGGTCAAAGGGCACTGTTCTACCTGTGAGGTAATGCAGTTTATCTCTGTGTACTGGGCACAGTGAATCTGTGAAGCCATGCGTCTCATCTGTGGTATTTTCTTCAAAACAGATGTACCTGATGCCCCAAGGTGCTCAAAACAGGCAGAAATTATGGGCAGAATCTTTAGCTAGGTTTCCATTGGGGGTGCAGCTGTCGTAAACCACTGCTGTGCTTGTGAGAGCCATGGCACCGCCTTTAATGCCAGCACTTGGGAGGTGGATTGCGGAGTTCCAGGTCAGCCTGGTCTACATAGTGAGTTCCAGAACAACCAGAGCTCTGCAGAGAGACCCTATCTCAAAAAATTTAAAAAACAAATGAGAGACTCTTCTGTTTAGAATTTGCTTCTTTGGAGTTTTGGGAGACATGCCTTCAGGTATTCCTTTTTGTTACAGGGTTGTAATGAAAACCTGCCAAGCCATGAAACTCAGTTACTCTATGTATATTTACAACTTTGTATAAATTGATCATAGAGAAAGTGATACTTTGTTCCTTGTACTCATTCTATTGATTTGATTCTATTATGCTATTGACGCCTTGGTACTTGGTAATGGTACCAGATCACAGAGCTCAGGAAACAAGCTTTCTTCCCTTAGAGCCATGCTTCTCATCCTCTCCAACGCGGAGACCTTTAACCCAGTGGTCCTCAGCCCTCCTGACGCTGAGACTCTTTAACACAGTGGTTCTCAACCTTTAATACAGTGCCTTATGTTGTGCTCACCCCCAACTGTGAAACTATTTTTGTTACTACTTTATAACTGTAATTTTGCTATTGTTATGAATTATACTGTAAATATCTGTGTTTTCCATTAGTCTTAGGTGAAAAAGGCTCATGGCCCACAGGTTGAGAACTGCTGCTTTGGGCTGTTAATAATTCATGGTAAAAATTGTATCAGCAAAATATCTTGAGTTATATACTGTGATAAATGCTCACACAGGTGACAGAACTGTCGCAGCATTAGCAGGGTGAAAGTCCTCACTCAATGAATGAAAGTGTGAGGCCTGGCCATGTCTGGTTCTCACGTCACCCCAGCCATTGGGAATCTGAGGCAAGAAAGCTAATCATGAATTAAAGGCCTGATCAGCTACTCAGGGAATTCTAGGCCAGCCTAGGCTACAGAGTGAGCCAGGTCTGTCAAAGCAGGAGGATCGGGAGCTCATCCACCTCTACATAGTGAGACTACCCTGGGTGGAGGAAAGCAGGTAAAGAAAGAAGTTAGATTCAGGTGTACTGTAGTTCTGCACTCAGGGGTCTGGGTTGGGCGAACCAGCTTGAAATTCATGTTGAGTTCCAGGCAAACCTGGACTGCATAGTAAGATCCTGTCTCAAAAAAACAATAGAAACCACCAAGAAAGTAGGTAAATAAAAATGCGGATCTTGTTTCTGAGACTTTGTGTTACAGTCTTATTCCTCAGGTTTCCCATAAACTGTATGGCAAGGGCAGAGAGGACGTGGGATTGTCACTGTTGTTTCAGCTGAGGTTTTCAGTCGGTGCTACCTGTACCCTCACTGTCGTGTAAACACTGCTTTGGGACTGTTGACTTCTCAGCCCCGATCTGGAGTAGTTTAGTGTTCCAGTGAAGAGCGTGTAGTGCTGGGCGATGGTGGCGCACGCCTTTAATCCCAGCACTCGGGAGGCAGAAGCAGGCAGATCTCTGTGAGTTCGAGACCAGCCTGGTCTACAGAGCTAGTTCCAGGACAGGCTCCAAAACCACAGTGAAACCCTGTCTCGAAAAACAAAAAACAAAACAAAAAAAAGAGCGTGTAGTGACATATCAACAAAATGTCCTCGTGAACGACAGAAGCATCCTTTGTGGTAGACAGTGGTTTAATTGGGGCCTGCTGTTGATGCTGGTACAATAACGAGGGTGCATCTAAAAGGCAGAGAGGAAAGTGAGGCGGGGATGAGAAATGGGTATGAAGAGAAAGGCTGCTGGAGCTAGCGCAGAAATTGCTGGATTATTGCTTTATTCTATGGTGTGATTGCTGGAGCTGTCTTTTATGCTGATGCTACTGGACATGTGGCATATGTCCGCAGAGCCAGCACTTAGGAGGTTAGGGGGACATAGCAAAGTCTCATCTGAAAGAAGCACATGCACACACAATAACACAATAACAAAAGCAACAATAAATGATGATGATGATGTCATATGGCTGCCAGCCCCCCGAGTTTGTCTTCCCTTGTGGATGATGTGCTGCCTGGTGGTGACATTGTCTTAGGCTTTCCCTGTGGTGTTAGTGCGGTATCCTACTCTGTACAGTGAGAACTTGCATGCCTCAGCAGTTCTTTGTATCAGTGACGTCACTGCGTCTGTTCATGGCTCGATGGCTGATAGGCAGCTTCTGTCTAAGTCACGGAGAAACTAATTTCATATTCGTTGTAGCTTGATGGACTTCGGCTAAACTGTGGTCATGACTGTCTGGTATAGAATGAAGACAGCACTAAAGAAGAGTTCTTGGGTCCAGGGTAAAGCCCTGGTTAGCGCTGGCAGGATTAGCACACACAGTTCATGCAACAAATCTTGTGTTATGAAATGACATTAAGCAAAAACTCAGTCTTCAAGACTATGTTCACACCCTTTGGGAAGGACACCAGAGTGTCCGAGTGATTCCAGCTATTCTCTGTGTGCTCCATTTCCTAAATGCTTTTTTTTTTTATTTTTTATCATGTTTTCCCCCTTCCCACAAAGGTATTTATTTTGTTTTGTTTGAGACAGGGTCTCACTATGTAGCGCTGGCTATCCTAGAACTCCATAGACCAGACTGGCCTCCAGTTCACAGAGATCAGCCTGCCTCTGCCTCCTGAGACTAAAGGTATGCACCAGGCCACATAGACAGGGATGTTTTTCTTTTCGTTGTTGTTTTTGTTTTTTTGAGACAGGATTTCTCTGGGAAATAGTCCTGGCTGTCCTGGAACTCACTCTGTAGACCAGACTGGCCTCTAACAGATCTCACAGAGATCCTCCTACCTCTGCCTCCTGAGTGCTGGCATTAAAGGCATGAGCCACCACCACCTGTTTTTGTATGTGTTCTTTTTGTTTTGTTTTGCCATTCGTGTGTGTTCCTTTACTAAGTAGGAAAAGTAGTGAAGTTGATGCCCTCATAATGAGCATCGTCAAGCATTTGTAGTGGAAATGAAAGTTGTCCCTTGCTGTCACATACAACAGCATTGTGAAACAGAACATACCCAGTGATTCTGTCCTGTCTTATTTCTAGGCGCTAGGTGAACTCTGTGAAACCAAGTTTGGGAAGACACACCCTGTGTGCAGTTTGGTAAGTGCCTGGTGAACCCATGCGCTGATTCTGTCACCGCAGAGGACAAGTAGTGTTAGCTACAGACTTCTCGTGAAAGACATTTGGATAGAGGCAGGCGCGGGGAGGGGTGTAATGCCCTCATGTTGTAGATCACTGTTCTGTGTGGTGTCTTCTGTGCCGACGTATTTCCTTTGTCTGCTTTTCCTGGGGTAAGTGCTCTACAGCAAGAGTAGCAGGTGCTGTGGGAAATGAGCAGATCCTCTGAGGAACGTCACAACGGGTCTGTAAGCTTCACTCAGGAGTGTCCCGATCTCTTGTAGGCAGGTAGTGGCTTGGGGGAGTCATAGTCCTCAGTGTCTGCCTGCTGCTGCGGGAACCTTGCTGCAGTGGTGGCGTCCACTTGTGCTCAGGCCAGCGTCTTTGCTCAGGTGCAGTGTGCTACACAAGAATCACACGAGAACAGAAGCAGTGCTGGGGGAAAAGAGACTGGGGAGCAGAGGAGAAAAAAGGACACACAAGAATCACACGAGAACAGAAGCAGTGCTGGGGGAAAAGAGACTGGGGGAGCAGAGGAGAAAAAAGGACAGTGGGGAGAAATGTCACACCACACACACACACACACACATACACACACACACACACACACACGACATTCTGAAAGATTCAATAAAAAACGTAAAATGCTTGTTACAAAAGTGTGGAAGTTGGAGAGCACCTACTGTCAGAGGTCAAAAAATATTAAAAGGAACCTGACTTGTACCTTGTATTTTGGGGGTACATGGTGGCCAGAACCACCTGTATAGCTGATTGCTGGGCACTCTGGGCTCCTCCCACACCATCTCCCTCAGCAGCTTGATGGGTCCCTCTGTGTTGTCTCTAGGTCGCCTCTTTGCCCCTGTGGTTGCCGAAGTCTTTAAGCCCTGGTTCTGGGCGGGAGCTGCAGAGACTCTCCTACTTAGGGGCCTTCTTTAGCTTCTCGGTCTTTGCAGAGGACGATGTGAGTACACATTTGACGCCCGCTCAGCCCTTCCCAGGTGGTCACTGTATGCTGATCGAGTATATCCCGTCTACTTCCAGGCAAAGGTGGTTGAGAAATACTTCTCAGGGCCCACCATTACCCTGGAGAACACCCGTGTCGTCAGCCAGTCACTACAGCATTATCTGGAGCTGGGACGGGTAGGTGTTGAGAAGGGAAGGCAGAGGCAAGGGCCTCCCGGGGGAAGAAAGCCTGTTTCATAGATGAGTGCTGCCCGGGTCTCCCGCGTCACAGAAGGCAGATGTGCTACCAGGAAGATGCTCCATGTAGAGCTCAGCTCATTGCTGTTAGCTCTTGTTGCTGCTTCGGGGCAGAGATGGAGCCCAGGCCCAGCACCTCGAGGGTACAGTTAGGTGTCTCCCAGAGAGCCCCACTGTGACATGAGTAATGACCTGAAGTCCAGCTATGCTGTTTCTCTGGGACTGTCACTGAGGGCTGGAGTGATGTCTAGTGGCCGTGCTTTCCCTCCATCTTGCCATAGCCATGGAAGCCATGAGGATGAGCAAAAGCTGATAGTGTGGCACCCTTTGCCGATCCCTTGTTCTCAACTGCAAACGTGAAGTGCCTTTGCCAATTGAAGCCATATTGGTCATGGGACGGCAGTGACAGAGGCTGGGTTATTAAACCTGTGGCTGCTCAGCACCCTCCCCACTGCATGCTGCTGCCCTCCACGGTCCTCCTGCTTTCTCACACACACTTCTGTGTGCTGACTGTCTTGGCTTCCATACAAGGAATGGGTGTGGGAGAGTAAGGGGGAGTGGTAGGCTAATCTCAAAGTAAAAAAGAAGTCAATTGTTTTTTCTTTTTGAAAATAATTCAGCAAGAGCTTTTCAAGATTCTGCATAGTGTGTTGTTAAATGGCGAAACTCGTGAAGCAGCTCTCAGTTACATGGCAGCCATCGTCAATGCCAATATGAAGAAAGCCCAGATGCAGGTATGAGTCCCCCTAATGCCTCAGGTGCTCGTTGAACCTGTTTATCTTGCTCCTCCCAGGCTGAGTGCTGGGGTCAGGAAGACAGCGTGCGACAGGACCAGGCGAGTCTCCCACTTCTGTGGATCTGAGTTCTCTGGTAGGGAGTAGACGTGCAAGTGCAGTATTCCAGACAGCAGTAGAGTCCGAGATGGAAGTGCGCAGGTTTGGGAGTGTGTGGAGTGCCAGAAGGAAGGTACAGGAATGAATTGTGATCAGGTAGCAGGGTGGCCTCTCTGAGGAGGCTCCTTGACTGAGGAGCTTGTCGTTGCAAGGCTAGAACATATACAGTACCTATACGGTAGTAGAGCAGAAATGGGCCAGCTTCATTGTGAGCCAGGATGTAGGCCTTTGTGACTGGGGGCAAATGCGCAGGTGAAAAAGAAGCTTGAGTCTGGTCAGGGCTTATCCGTGAGGACTGTAGTGGGATCCACTGAAGGGGAGGGGCGTCAGCCAGGAGATCACACGGGCGGGGTCAGGAGCAGGCCTGAAGAAGATCTACATTGCTCATGGTAAGAGCAGGGAAATTAAAAATTCCAGATTATTATTAATAGAATGAACTTGTAAGCAAAATAATAAAAGTATAGAGAAGAGCAAAAGCCCAGTGACTTCTGGTGCTGCGTACAGTGTCTGCTGTGTCCAGCCCCTTGACATTGTCCCAAGGACCATGCAGTCAAAGGAGATCACACAGAAATTTCACCCTGTTTTATGTGAGTCGCAGTTTTATGTTGGGCCACATTCATAGCTGGCCTCAGCTGCATGTGGTCTGTAAGTCAGCCACACCTGCATTTCTCTGTGCCTCAGGGTCTCCATTTGGTGAATGGGGTTAGGAGTGACTACTGACTTGTGGGCTACTTCTACGTAATGCGTTAGAATAGTCCCTAGTGTACAGTGGCTGCTCAGCTCTAATGGCTTCTTAGTTGCTCACGTGGGTCTATGCTCATTGTTTACACGACAAAGCTGTCACATGGGGGTGCAGCTCGTTGTGCTGATTTGATGTTCCTGAGAAATAGGAACGAGAACGGAAGCTACATTTGTTCTGCTTTTGCTTCCCTCTCTGACCTTCACTCCCTCTCTAACTATGAATTGTGCTGTGCAGATGGGGGTGTTGCAGAGGTCAGTGAAGACATGGTTGTGGATAGGTGGGACCTCTCTAAATATGAATTGTGTTATGCAGACGGTCAGTAAGGACATGGTAGTGGATAGGTGGGACCTTGCTTGGCTGGCATCACCATACGTCCTGTTACTGACTTTAGGGAGTGGTCACACTGGAGTGCCCCAGGTGCTCTCATAGGAATTTGGACTTACCAGTCGTTTGAATTGCTTTCACTTTGTGTCCCAGGCAGATGATCGGTTGGTGTCCACAGACGGCTTTATGCTGAACCTCCTTTGGGTCCTGCAGCAGCTAAGTACAAAGATCAAGTTAGAAACAGTCGACCCCACTTACATATTCCACCCGAAATGTCGGATTAATCTCCCGAACGATGAGACACGGATAAATGCAACGATGGAGGATGTGAATGAGTGGCTGGCTGAGCTCTGTGAGTGCTGTGTTCATGGCTGGGTCACCTCTCTTTCATCTGCATGGCTCTGGGAGATGGAGATGCAGAGTTAAAATTAACATAGTGAAATTTCTTCCTTGAATACTGAACACATACATAGAACAGATGGGCAGGAAAGAGAAGACTCGATAATAACAACTCTATTACAGATTTTATGTTGTATCGTGGCAGTTGAAAATATGGCTGTTTTAAGATATAAGGATAATTATCTTGCTTCTTCGTAGCATAAAATATATTTGTAATTACAAAAATCAAAACCCCCTGCCACTTCTTTTTTTAATATTTGAAAATTATGTGTGGAATAAGATGAATTCCTATTTACCTGGAAAGGGAAATGCCATGATGAAACGTACACCTTCTAGGAAAGTAATCACTTGGTGCTCAGTCTTACTTAGTACAAACTTGGAACCCCAGCACTTAGGAGGAAGGTAGGAGAATCACGAGTTCAAGGCCAGTGTGGGCTACACAGCAAGATCCTACCTTACAAGACCAAGAAAAGAAAAAAATAGATGTTGTTTAATAAATTTGTTTCCTCAGCCTAAAATGAATTCTAGGAATATTATAAAATTATAACACTTTTTTTTTAAAGATTTTATTTATTTATTATGTATACAACATTTTTTCTCCATATATGCCTGAAGGCCAGAAGAGAGCACCAGATCTATTATAGATGGTTGTGAGCCACCATGTGGTTGCTGGGAATAGAACTCAGGTCCTCTGGAAGAACAGTCATTGCTCTTAACCACTGAGCCATCTCTCCAGCCCTAAAATTATAACACTGTTGAAGGGAAAAGGGAGACACACACAGGATGGTGATAGAGTAGCAGAGGATGGGGAGGGAGACACACACAGAGGATAGTGATAGAGCAGCAGTGGACGGGGAGGGAGACACACACAGAGGATGGGGAGGGAGACACACACAGAGGATGGTGATAGAGTAGCAGTGGACTAGGTTGCTTTAGTTTTTAAGTTAAGGATTTCCTGTGTTGTCCATGCTAGCTTCAAGTTCCTAGACTCAAGCAACCCTCCTACCTCAGTCTCCTAAGCAGCAAGACTGCCCCTGAAGCACTGCAACTGGTTAAGGGCACAGGTGTATAGGAGAAATCACCGCTAATGTTCTTTAGCACAGCAGGGTAGCAGTGGTCAGCAGTAGCTCAGTGCATGTTTCATAAAAGCTGCGGAGGGGGTTTGACTGTTTTCAGCACAAAGATAGGATAAATGCTCGAATGATTTAACTATGACATTCTATACACACGTGTTAAGTACCAACTCTACCCTATAAATGAGTCGTTATGTACTGATTAAAAACTACTACATATGTAGTTGGGCTGTGGTGGCACGCATCTTTAATCCTAGTACTCAGGAGGTAGGGGCAGGCGGATCTCTGTGAATTCAAGGCTAGCCTGGTCTGCAAAGCAACTCTCAGAGCAGCGAGAATTGTTACACAGAGAAACCCTGTATGGAAAATCCAAAACCAAACCAAAACAACTGCAAAACAAATAAACAAACAACAAAACCAAAAACCTACTATGTAATGATATTCTCTCTGTGACTCTACTTTCTGCCTATACTCCAGAAGTTGATGTTCAAAGTACAAAGTTCTTCCTAGAAAGTAGGAAAACAAACATGTAAGAAAATGACTGTGGTGGATTAATATGCCTAATACTATTGTAAGATTGAAATGATATGTACATCTTGGGATATGAAGATGATTTTGTAAGATATATTAGGAAGACATCATAAAAGGTTGATCTTTATAAACATCTAATCAGCTAAGATAAGGTACAGGGCCTTTAACTAAAGCACATAGGAATTTGTTTTTCTTACGGTGTCACATAAGTTTGTACTTTAAAAAATATTCTTGGAGGCTGGCGATAGTGTTGTATGGTTTTAATCTAAGCACCATAGAAGCAGAGACAGGTAGATGTCTGTAAGTTCAAGGACAGCTTGGTCTATATAAAGAGTTCCATGACAGCCAGAACCACATAAAGAAAAAAAAAAACAAAAAACAAAGAACAAAAAAAAAAAAAATGAAAATGCCTAGACTGCGGAAGGGCTCCCTTGGTCAGGAAAGCACTGCCGTGCAAGCATGAGGACGTGAGCTCAGCTTCCCAGCAGGCACATAAAAGCTGGGCCTGGTGGTGCACATCTATTGCTCCCAGTGCTGGTGGAAAAAGACAGGACGATCCGAGTCATTGTCTGTCTAGCTTGTCAGTTGGTACTATCTGAGTTCAGTGAGATAGATAGGTAACCAGTCTCAAAAAAATAAGCTGTAAAAGACACAAGACAATTTCACGTATGCAAATGCAAAATATGTCCTTACATCACAAAAACATGCACACAGAAAATATTCTTCACCGATTTTCCTTTGGAATAAAACGTTTTCCTTAAGGCTTGTAATTGATTTTAGTTAAGAATGCTTGTTGTTGCTTTTATTCTAGATGGAGATCAGCCTCCATTTTCTGAGCCAAAATTCCCTACAGAATGTTTCTTTCTCACCCTGCACGCTCACCACCTCTCTATTCTGCCTAGTTGTCGTCGCTACATTCGCAGACTGCGAGCTATCCGAGAACTCAACAGGTATGTGCCGTGATCCCTTCTCTGCTCTGGCATTGGTTATTGTTACTGCTGCCTCTTAGGCACAAGCTGTCTGCTGTGGTCAGTAGATCTGATACATTGCGGTATTCTATCTGCCTCTACTACCGTGTTGGTGCCTCCCGTTCGTCCTGTGCTCTTTATGTGATAAAGTGGTGCAGAGGTTGATCTCTGAGCCCTTGGTGTTCATCTCTGGATGTGCTTGCTAAAAGCTTTCCGCTGGGTGTGAAGATTACCAGGAACCAGTTTGAGGAGCTCCTGCCTTTTCGGCTTACCTTCTTGCCCTGGACTGTCAAACCCTGTTTTCTGTGGTAATCAAGAAAACATGGATTTGCACTGTTGTCTGTGTCTGACTAAACCATAAATGCTACAAAACCTTACTTGTAATGTTTTCTTATAGATACATAGTTATGATACAGATTGATAAATTAAGTACACTGTGGGATTAACAACTAATAACAAAATAGAACAATTATAATAATATGCTATAGCCAAAGCTGTGACATGGTGGCATACTTCTGTGGCACCTCAGCACTTGTGAGGTGGAGACAAAGTTCAAGGTCTCCTTGGCTGTGTCAGTCAGTATCTCCCATTCCTTTTCCCTTTTTTCCTCTCTCTTTTTTCTGTAGGTGGAGTTTATCTGTGTCTCAGCAGATGTTCCTAAATAACCATTCAGAGACTATTAATTATAAATGCCCAGCCAATAGTTCAGACTTGTTATTAGCTAATTCTTAAATTTTATATGTTACACACTGTAAAGGCATATTCCACATTTCCTCATTTTTGTTTAATTAAAAAGGAAGGTTTTGCCAGACAATAGGGGCTCATGCTTTTAATTACAGCACTTGGAAGGCAGAGACAGGCGGATCTCATTGAGTTTGAGGCCAATCTGGTCTACAGAGCAAATTCCAGGACAACCAGAGAAACCCTGTCTCGAAAAACCAGGAAAAGGGGAAGGTTTTAACTTTAACATATTAAAATGATATACAATAAAAACAGTTATCGAGTAAGAATTAGAATTGCAATATCTAGTCCATTTGTATTTGGCAAAATAGAGAAAATACTCCTAGCTGTCCTCTCCTGGGAAGTCCAGAGTTTCGTACCTGATTTACTTTCTACCACTATAAGGGAGAACTGTGACTATAGCGTCTCATCTTCAACCCCATCAAAGACCCGAGAAGGATATAATATTATCTGAGTAAACAAGAAATTCAGAGCAAGTGACTTCCAAAATTATGAGATGACAGAAACAGGTAGCTTCCTCCACAGTCACCCAGAGTTCTTCAGTAATGTTGGGTTATCCAACTTTGGCCTACAGGCCTAGTATATCTTATAGACAAATGTGGAATATTCCTTTACACTGTGTGAATATGTGTCACTTATTGGGTTAATAAGGAGGCTGACTGCCCAGTACCTGGACAGGTAGAGGTTGGGTGGAACTTGCAGAACAAAGAGCATGAAGGAGAAGAGAAGGAGTCTTTCAGAATCTGGAGGAGACACAGAGAGGAGATGAATTTGTCGTACTGAAAAAAGGTATTGAGCCATGTGGCAGAATGCAGATAAGAAATATGGGTTAATTTAAGGTGTAAGAGTTAGCTAATAACAAGTCTGAGCTATTGGCTGAGCATTTATAATAATACATCTCTGAATGGCTATTTGGGAGTGGTTGTCCTGACAGAAACTCCACCTACATATGGCACCCAATGTGGGGCATCCACAAAAAACCTGAGAAAACGTCCACATAAAACCTGAGGAAAGCTTAAAGTTTTGGTTTTTTTTTTTTTTTTTTGGTTTTTCGAGACAGGGTTTCTCTGTGGTTTTGGAGCCTGTCCTGGAACTAGCTCTTGTAGACCAGGCTGGTCTCGAACTCACAGAGATCCGCCTGCCTCTGCCTCCCGAGTGCTGGGATTAAAGGCGTGCACCACCACCGCCCGGCTAAGCTTAAAGTTTTTAAACTTATAAATTGGAACCAAACACAGCTTCCTGATAATGGCTTTTTCTTGGGTAGGATTGAAACTAAGGGCAAACAGAGGTGCAGCTCCTTTAAGAGAAAGAAGGCTTATTTGGTACTAGTGGCTAACATAGGTGCAGCTCCTTTAAGAGGCTCTGTTATGGAACATGTAAATGGGGTTTATAAGAGGCAGACTCAGTTGGCAGCATGGACCCAACAGCTTCCCAGAACTGGGTGGTAAATGTGACTGACAGTAGTAGATCCACCTTCAGTCTCCCCCTTGGTAAAGACTCTATTGTATAACCCTGGAACTCACTGAACGCACAGAGATCCACCTGTCTCTGAGTACCCCCTCCCTGACACACATACACCACGTTGTTGGGATTAGAAGCATGTCTTGCTTAGCATTATTTCGTTCACAGTTTTTCATAGTTACACTTTGGGGTGGGGTTGACTCTTACTATGTGTTCTAGCTGAATTGCATTGGATGTGCTATATATATCTAGCTGATATGATATGCCCTGTGTGGTTTAGGGCTTTTGAAGCCAGCCATGCTTATTCATCTTTCTCATGTTTTCCTCTCCCTGGCTAACTTTATCCACTTTTAATATCAGCCACTAAAGACTGAGGACATGGCACAGTGGGTGAAGAAACTGGCCACCAAGCCTGGCACTCTCAGTCTAGTGCCTGGACCCCACGGGCCAGTCTGACAAAGATATTTCCTCGGTTGAAGTTCCCCTTCCCCAGATAACCCTGTCTTCTGTCAACTTGACAAAAAAAGCAAGAACACAAAACAGAGAGACCTACCCAGCTCAGTCACGTGTTGCAGGTTTTGTCCCAGGATCAGGGTGCACAGTGTCCTTACGTGGTTTATTTAGATTCACTTATTTTATGTGTGAGTGTTTTGCCTGCATGTGTGTCTGTGTGCCACTGGTGTCCTTGGAGGTCGGAAGAGGGCATCAGATCCCCTGGAACTGGAGTTAGGGATTGTTGTAGCCATCATGCAGGTGCTGGTAACTGAACCCATGTCCTGAGCTTCATTTGTTCTTGACCTTTGAGTCATCATCTCTTCAGTCCTTGGATGTGACTTTTTTGGTTTTTCGAGACAGGGTTTCTCTGTAGCTTTTGGTGCCTGTCCTGGAACTAGCTCTTGTGGATGAGGCCAACCTGATCTACAGAGTGAGTTCCAGGACAGCCAGGGTTATACATAGAAATCTTGTCTTAAAACACTTCTTTCCCCCGGAAGACACATTATTTATTATTTTATGAACAACCCGAAATAAAAAAAAATGCGTCAATTAATCCAGAACTTACTGTAGTGGGATTTGCTCTGGTTTGTATTTTATTTTGTTCGGAGACAGAATCTATGTGGAACTCTGGTTATCTTGGACTCATGCACCACCGTGTCTGGCCTGTGGACTCTACTTTTTAAAATTCCTAAGTGTGTTAAGAATTAAGTCAGAGAGTCCATGCAATGGAAAGTGAATAGATAGGATGGACTTGGATGTTTTATTTTGATTGTTAGTGTGCTTTGTTTGTTCATTTCAGAACTGTGGAAGATTTGAAAAGTAACGAAAGCCAGTGGAAAGATTCCCCACTGGCCCCCAGACACCGAGAAATGCTGAAGCGCTGTAAAACTCAGCTTAAGGTTTGTACCGTTAATTGGTGTAATCATGAACTGGCCTCACGATAGTAACCTTTCCCCCAGAGTAAGCGTCTTGATGAGCAGTTGTATGTCCTTAGTTTTTCTTCATCGTTCTTTTCCCTCGAGGTAAAGTAGGTTAATTTAAAACTTGGAACCTAACTGTAGACAGAAGTTTCGCTGCTTGTAAAGCTCAGCTAAACACACACTGGCTGACCTTGCACAGGAGGCAGAGAAGCACGTGTGCACCTTTTTGTGCTTACGTTCATATTATAAAGCTGACTGTTGGCTCCTTGTGCTTGGTGGAATGATAGAGAAAAGTATCGCTGTGACTTATGTGACAGGCTGAGATTTCAGGTTTTCATTTGCTAATAGACGAGACTACTTTTAAGATCCAAAATTGAGATGGCCATAGTGGCTCCTACTTGTAACCCCCACACTTTGGAGCCCAAGACAGGGGTAGCTATGAGTTTAAGGCCGGCCTGGGCCACAGAGGGAGGCCCTGTCTTAACAGCAGGATGCAGAATAAGCCAGGGCTCCCCTTTCAGATCTGTACCCCCTTAGTATTCCACAGCTGCAGTTCAAGGGACCTGTAATAAACTGTTGGAATCTACTTAGCGCGATGTCCCTCTGTGTGGATCGCGTTCTCATGGCCGTCCTCTGAGGTGTAACAGCCTCGAGGGTGGCACATCAGTCAGATTCAATTGGTCTGGCTTTTTCCACTCATTTTCCTGACACCCAGAGGGCCTCCCAGTCAACCCTATCCCCCATCCAGGTTCTTGAGAAGTGGTTATCAGTGACTAACCTCAGCACTAGCTGTGTGCGGTCCTCTGTGCTCGATGAAAACATCCTACTGTTTTCAGGAAAAAGAAAGACCTGGCACAGCAGTCGGTGTCCTGTAGCTAGTTAGAGAGGGCGTTCTATACACTCTAGAACCTAGAGTCTGGTCTTAGCTCCTGGCCCCTCTCCCTGCCTAGTCACACTGAGGGGCCTTGGCTCCAGACTAATCTGTGGGTGGGGGCACGCTTACTTCCACAGAAACTGGTACGGTGCAAGGCCTGTGCTGACGCTGGCTTACTTGACGAGAGCTTCCTGAGAAGATGTCTGAATTTTTATGGCCTTCTCATTCAGCTGATGCTGCGCATCCTGGACCCTGCGTATCCCGAGTGAGTGTGTCTTCCCCTGCCGAGTCACCACTGTGCCTGCTGTGTCCTCGTCCTGGTTCCTCATCATAACTAAAGGAAACCCTTACCCTCTCGAGGGTTTGCCTTTCATTTGCCAGACTGTGTTTATATTACATACACTTTGGAGCTATATTAATATTTCCCTGTGTGTTTTTAATGGGTGGCATTTTAAAAAACTGCTATTACATTGGGCAAATAGAAAAGCAAATCTATAAATTAGAAGCACAATGCTAGAGAGAGCAGCCTACTGAGTCCTCCCTCCGCATCAAGTCCCGGAGAGCCAGGCATGTCAGTCACTGCTGTCACAGTTATGGCTGTTTTGTGTTCATTATGAAGCTGCTGGGTCACAGGGATTTGTGAGGTTTGGCCTGTACCCCTAAGAGTGATAAGGTTATATAAAATATATGCATGGTCTGTGGGCTCAGTTTAAGTTGCTTAAAATGACAAATATGAGCTTTGGACCTCTTGCTGTTTTGCCTGCTGCCTTAACTCTAGCCAGAAATCCCTGACGAGGCAAGCAGCACACAGAGTGTGCCCGTTTCCTGCATCCTCCTTTCACTTCTGGAGATCACAGCTGTTTGCTGTGTACATTCACACTTGTGTTACACAGGAAGGGCTTCTCTTTCCTAAATGAGCTATTTAGTAGTGTCACATCCCTTGTAGTCAACGTGCCGTGATTCCGTTTTGTAAATTGTGCTTTTTCTTTGTCTTTTCTCTTCTACAGCGTAACACTGCCTTTAAGTTCAGATGTCCCCAAGGCGTTTGCAGCATTGCCTGAGTTTTATATAGAGGATGTTGCTGAATTTTTATTTTTTATTGTACAGTAAGTACTTCATATATGTATGCTCTGCTTTCTGCACTGTACACGGTGCTGTGAGCTGGGTTTCGAACCTTCATTTAAGCCTGGGGTTGGGTAACTTTCTTTACGCAAGTGCTGCTGAGAAACTGGAGGATTAAACCCTGCTCAGCAGCTCATTCCAATACCATTGTCAGGACAGAAGCAGGGTGAGCAGTGTAGGTGGCGAGCTCTGTGAGACCTCCTGAGACGAGTGGGTGACAGTGGAGTGCGTTCCTGAGAAATGTCCCAGTGAACATCTAAACCAGATGTTTGTAAAATTGGAGAAGATGTAAAGAAAAGGTTGCACCTTGTCTAATATTTGGCAGAATTTAGTTTTTTGTTTGAATTTTTGTTTTTGTTTTCCTACAATACTCAGTCGGGAGCTTGAGTCTTCACCAAGGTAGACCTCGGTGGCAGGGTATCTGCCTAGATTTGATTCCCAGAACTGCCAAAAGAAAACCAAAAACAAGTAAAACCCTTCACTTTTTGCTTTGGATACATCACCATAACATGGAAACAGTACTAGGTGACAGGGGGATGTGTGTGAAGTCTATTTACAAAAGCAAAAGCAGGGGCTGGAGAGATGGCGCAGCGGTTGCTGTTCTCGCAGAGGTCCTGAGTTCAGTTCGCAGCAATTGCATGGTGGCTGACAACCATCTGTAATGAGATCAGGTGCCCTCTTTTGGCATACAGCTATATATGCATGCAAAAAAAACACTGTCTATATAATAAATAAATCTTTATTTAATTAAAAAAGACAAAAGCAGCGTAGACTCATTGCCCAAAGTGTAAATTGCAAACATTTTCTAGTAACAACCAAAATCCAAAATTAAAGCTGGTTGAGTTATTATCATAAAAGCTATCTGCAGCTGAGCATGGTGTCCCACACCTGTAATCCCAGTACCTGGAAGCTCAGGCAGGAGGATTATTCTGGGCCAGCCAGGTCTACACAAAGAGACCGTCCTCAGACAACAAAAGAACAGAAAAACTATTTCCAGACAGGCCCAGTCAGTAGTGATACATGAATTCTGAATGGTAAGAATTTTAAAGGGAGATTAAAGGTTATAGTTGGGTTGCTAAGTAAATCCAGTGTTATGATTTAAGTAGGTTCAGTCATTTATTCCAAGCACAGTAGTATAGACACGTACTTGGAATTTTTTATTTCTTAAAACATTTAAATTTTTTTGAATTACATGTATTTGTTCCTGTGTATGCATTTGGACCTTGCTTGCTGTCGAACTTCTCCTTGTGGGAACTGGTCCTCTCCTACTGTGTGTGTGCTGGAGACAGAACCCAGGTGTCAGCCATTGCACAAAGTGCCCATGCCAGATTCAGCATCTTGCTGGCCCTAGAAGTTTAAGTTAGACATTAACTCCATCAAAACCTTTTTAAAGCTGGGCATGGTCATGCATTCCTATAATCCAGTGCATGCATTCCTATAATCCAGTGCTTGGGAGGGCGAGACAAAAGATAACAAGTTCAAAGGCCGTCTAAGCTGGGTAGTGAATTTGAGGCCTGTTGGAGCTGTTTGAGACCCTTTTAAAAATTAAATATGTAAAGTTTTTAAATATGAAGATCTTTTGTTGTTGTTTTGTATTTTTCGAGACAGGGTTTCTCTGTGTAGCCCTGGCTATCCTGGAATTCGCTGTTCTGTAGACCAGACTGGGCTTGAACTCACAAAGATCCCGCCTACTTCTGCATCCTGAGTGCTGGGATTAAGCGCATGCACCACTGCTGCCTGGCGTGAAGGTCTTTTTGTGAAGTTCAGCCATGCATGCTTTAGCTTCCTTTCTAAAGCGCAGCAAGCATAGCATGCTGCAGCCAGCACACACATTAGGCTTTGCATCCAGCGAGCACATCACTTGAGCCATCCCAAGGGACCCAGTACCTGTCCTCCTCCCCTGTGCCCTGTCACTCTCCTTCCCTTTCCTACTAGCAAACTCTCCCATGGTTCCCGGAGGTTCATGGAGTGTCCTTGTCTCTCTATAGATACTCGCCCCAGGTGCTGTATGAGCCCTGTACTCAGGACATTGTGATGTTCCTCGTCGTCATGCTGTGCAACCAGAACTACATCCGCAACCCATACCTAGTGGCCAAACTGGTGGAGGTCATGTTTATGACCAACCCCTCTGTTCAGCCTCGAACTCAGAAGTTTTTTGAGATGATTGAGAACCATCCTCTCTCTACCAAATTGCTGGTACCTTCCCTCATGAAATTTTATACAGGTAGGTTCCAGAGTGTGCCTTCTGGCATGTGGTTATATGACAGACAAGGTTGTCTGAGTGAACATAAACCTAAACCTGCGACCTATAATCCATAAATAGAAAAGTAAATAATCCTGCCTTCTAGGCCCCGACATCCGCTTATGCAGTCACTTACCAGCCCCAGCCCAGGGCATGGGCTCTTCTGTCTTCTCCCAGGCATCTGAGAGATGACACTGGCTGCTGCGTGTGCTGGCTTCTGCTGGTTTAGCAGACTCCATTTGTCGTTTGTAGCCCAAGGTGGTGTTTTCATCTGAGTAAAACTACCTGGTTCATTTGCCTTTAAATTTGCAGCATTTGATATGTAACACCATCCTGAAATTGAGTTTTCAAAGTGTAGGTAAAATAGGAAGTTTGTTTTAAATGTTCGAGGTCATCCTTGATAGCAAGTTTGATGCTAGCTTGAGCTACTCAGAACAACAACAGCAGAAAGTCTATTGGATACTTGGACCCCTGACTGCCTTCCCTCGTGTATTCGTTCCTCACACTTAGTGAGCACCTGATACTTGTGGGTGCTGTGCTCTGTGCCCTGTTACACTTGGAAGTGACAGAGCCTGGAAACTGTGCTTCAAAGAGAACCTCCTCTTCTGGTCAAACTGTGTTCCGCCTTCTGAATCTCTTTAAAGTTTAGCCTTTAAACTGTTGGATTAGACTGTCTCCTACTAAAGACCCAAGACTGTGCTACTCAAACAGTTTCTCAGGATGTTGTATGTGCCCTGTCTTCTCATGTCCTGGTAAATTTGGCCACTCTGTAAGTGTCTGGCATTTAGTAGACCCCACCGTGTTCTACAGAAAATACAGTGGCTTATGACATATGCCCTTGCTGTTGACAGGGGCCACCTGTTTGAGGATGCCCAGAGCTCAGGGACAGTAGCTGTTGGGAACCCGTCTGCCTGCTTTTCCCTTCCTCACTCTTACTTTGTTCCATCTGATGAGGTTTCCCCTCAGCCTACTCAGATTCTCAGGAGTCTAAAGTAAGCACACATTGTCTTGGATATTTTGTTAGCATCCTTCCTTTGGAGATAGTCCAGTGTACTGATGGATAAAAGGCCCCTTTTGGGGTGTAAATCTTTTGATCTCATAGCCATGGTCAGGATTATTAGCTCAGGATACTTAGGTGCAAGTGGTATTTAGGTGTGTATTCAGTACAGGTTACACACTGCAGGTTGGAGGCCAGCCTGGTCTACAGTGGAGTTCCAGGCCAGTCAGAGATACATAGTGAGATCCCGTCTCAAAAAGAAAAAGTGTAGAAAATGCCAAGTAATAGCCACATTCCATAGGAGATGATGTGTTAATATTTTATGATAGATTTTGTTAAATATAATTAGTATTCAGTTGGTGGTCTGGGCACATTATTGTAGCTTCATGATAATTTTGTGTGTGTGTGTGTGTGTATGTGTAAGTATGTGAGTGAGTGAAAGACAGAAAGAGCAAGAATGAGCACACTTGAGAAGCATGTGGGTCGGTATTATTTGCTCCTTTTCTTTATCCTGGAGCAGTATGCCCTCCGGCCTAAGCCCCTTCCATGGTCATGGATAGACGATACCTTTCCTAAAAATAGTTGCCACTCATGGTCACTGTCCACTTGAGCTTCATAACTGTCGCAGAGATGGGCACTATAAATACCTCCACTTTACAAATGAGGAAACTTGAGCTTAGAAAGGTCAAGAAACTTGCTGAAGGTCACTGGCTAGTGAGTGGCAGGTGCCCAGCAGCTGGGTTCTAGCACAAGTGTCCCTGACTGCTTACAAGAGCTGTGAGCCTGCAGGATGCCTCCCAGATACTCCCCACATCTATGCCACAACGCATCAGGAGCTCCGCGTTAGATCCTGCTTCTGAGCGGGCCACCCTAAGATGGGCCGCAGAGTTGTAGATAGATTGCTGGAGCCAGCACCTCTCAGGCTACAGCGTACTGCACTTAGCAAGTACTTACACACAATCTTGTTTAAAATGAAAATTAGACATCAAAATAAGAGATTTTTTGTGTATCCTAACAGCCTTCCTTAGAAAGAATTCTGAGGACAGGAAGTCTGTGGATGGAGCTAGTCGTCTTTCCAGGCTTCTCCTTCCCCAGAGCTGACTGGCTGTACAAAGCAGCAGCCAGGGCAGAGTCTGTCACTAATTCAGCAAATACTTGTGTTGGGACTACTGTGGGGGGCAAACATGGGAGATTTAGAGGAGCTGGAGACAGTAGGTGTGGGAGAAAGAAAATGGGGTACTTCAAGAAGATTGACTGGGGAAGGTCTGAGGAAGTGAGCTTCAGTTGATCGCAATTGTGGAGTGGCACAAACATGATAAATTGTTGTAATAGGAGCAGCGGGGCTGCGTCCCCGGCACCCGGCCGCCCGCACGGCTAGTTTTACCCGAAATAATTACACGGACACTGTATTCTTTTAAACAACTGCCTGGCCCATTAGTTCCAGTTTCTTATTGGCTAGCTCTTACATATCGATCTAATCCATTTCTAATAATCTGTGTAGCTCCACGAGCTGGCTTACCAGGAAAGATCTTAACCTGCGTCTGTCTGGAGTGGGAGAATCATGGTGACTCCTACTCACTCAGCTTCTTTCTCCCAGCATTCTGTTCTGTTTACTCTGCCTACCTAATTTTCTGTTCTATTAAAGGGCTAAGGCAGTCTCTTTATTTAACCAATGAAATCAACACAAAACAGAAGACTCTCCCCCATCATTTCCCCTTTTTCTGTTTAAACAAAAAAGAAAGGCATTCACTTAACATAGTAAGATTACATATAGCAAAACAGTTATCAAGCAAGAATTGCAGTTACAATATTTATATCTATTTTATCTTTTATCATAACTAAAAAACTATAACTAACCATCAAAGACTCCAGAAGGATATAATATTACCTAAGCAAACAAGAAATCCAAAACTCTAGAAATGACAGAGACATCCCGCTGCCTGGATAGTCACCCAAAGTTCCTCTGTACCATTGGGGCATCCATCTTCGGCCTTCAGGCCCATAGTATCCAGCAGACATTTCCATGAAGCAGGAAATTTCAAAGACAGTTCAGTCATTATCTGCTGTGTTTTGCAGAATGTCTTTTAGACTCTTTCATGAATCAGGAACTCCGAAAGACCATCTTCACCTATAGGCAAGTTAAGCAGTCCTCTCTCTGCGGGTTCTTTGTGTCCAATTTATGCATCAGTCCAGGCAAGAGCAGTTTCTTGCCCAAATGGCTATCAAGCTCCATAAGGATCCTCTTCGATGCCCATCTTCTTGAAGTAGCTGGTGCTGCCAGGAGCAGACGTGTCTCCTTGTCATGAAAAGCCCTAAGTTTTTTTTTTTTTTTTTGTTTTTTTGTTTTTGGTTTTTCGAGACAGGGTTTCTCTGTGGTTTTGGAGCCTGTCCTGGAACTAGCTCTTGTAGACCAGGCTGGCCTCGAACTCACAGCGATCCGCCTGCCTCTGCCTCCCGAGTGCTGGGATTAAAGGCGTGCGCCACCACCGCCCGGCTAAGCCCTAAGTTATTAAAACATTTAAAATGCCATATTCTGCAGTCTTTGAAAGATATGAAGTATGTCTATCTAACTGAAATGTATCTCTATATATCTAGAAAATCTAACATGACTACAAGCTTTACTATTATCGATAATTATCCATTAGCAACCTGTATTTCCTATTATACATTACATTTTTAAATGAACTACACAATCACAATACCTCAATCAATATCAGAAATGCATATACATATAACAAAATTGACCTTAAAATCCATACCAATGCAAATTATTCATACCTATATCATTTCTCCCTTTAAATGTAAAAGAACATTTATAAACAATATTTTGGGAACATGGGCGCAGTTTTTTCTCTCCAAACTGCTTCCTGCTGAATGGGGGCGCTGTTAATCAGATTGTTTAGGGTGTAACCTGTGTGTCAGGTTCATCTCAGTTGGCAGTTGAGTGAAGTAATTTTTTGAGGGTGTTCACAGCAACTTTTCGGAAGGTCGTGGTCTATCATACCATATCGGGATAGAATCAATCCACAGGGTCTGGTCCTCTGTGAAAACAAAAGAAGACCCTTTCCAAAGCATCATATCCTTAGACCCAAATTCTGAAGTCATACCCTCATGATATCTGTTCCGGTTCCATTTGGCAGCCCATATAATGAAATGTCTCTCTGTACTTATCTCCTTCACAGTCAAAAATTTTAAAGAAAACACAATAATACAAAGAATCCAGACTCTCTGTGAATTTTCCATTTTTACGTGGCTTATTTTTACTCTATCAGTTTACTTTATTCTGTCTCTTTAAGGACTTTATCCTTTTTTTTTAAGGCATTAACTTTCTTTTTCTTCTCTTTCTCAAGCCTACGTACACTCATCCAACATTGTGACCCATTTAGTGGTCTTTGTCTGAATCTGTAATATTGTAAATCTGTAACTTTTTACTATCCAGGAGCACTTTTGATTTTTGCCTTTTAAATCACTAAGCACTTAAGAATCTAAGCTGTGACATTCCTAGGTCAAAAACAGGTATTGCGTGATTGCCCCGCCCTGTCCAACATGGCAGAGCCGCTTGTGCCTCTGATCCTTGCACATTGCACCAGTAGCGTGGTGGAGCTGCTTGTGCCTCTGAACCGCAGTACGTAATGACTTCCTTTTAGGCACACAGCGAGTCTAGTTGCCATCAAACAAATCGTAGCACTTTACTCCAATGCTCCATTCAAAAGCTCTGTCTCGGGCTGGAGAGATGGCTCAGAGGTTAAGAGCATTGCCTGCTCTTCCAAAGGTCCTGAGTTCAATTCCCGGCAACCACATGGTGGCTCACAACCATCTGTAATGGGGTCTGGTGCCCCCTTCTGGCCTGCAGGCATATGCACAGACAGAATATTGTATACATCATAAATAAATAAATATTTTAATAAAAAAAAAAAAAAAGCTCTGTCTCCTGCAGGAGCCAGGCAGAGATCACAATGGCGGCACAGCCCAGAAAGTGGGCATTTTAAAACAGCCAGTTTTTTCCTGCTGCTGAGTCAGGACAATTTCTTTGCGGCACGCAACCCACAAACACCAAAAAGCTGTATTAAATTCTCTCTCTCTCTCCTTTTCAGGTCCTCTCAGGTTTTACATGGAGTTCATTAGCACGTTGGGTGCCACTCTGTTGAAATAGAAGCGGCGGGCTGCGTCCCCGGCACCCGGCTGCCCACATGGCTAGCTTATGCCCCGAAATAATTACATGGACACTGTATTCTTTTAAACACTGCCTGGCCCATTAGTTCCAGCCTCTTATTGACTAGCTCTTACATATTGATCTAACCCATTTCTAATAATCTGTGTAGCCCACGAGGTGGCTTACCAGGAAAGCTCTTAACCTGTGTCTGTCTGGAGTGGGAGAATCATGGCGACTCCTACTCACTCAGCTTCTTTCTCCCAGCATTCTGTTCTGTTTACTCCGCCTACCTAATTTTCTGTTCTATTAAAGGGCTAAGGCAGTCTCTTTATTTAACCAATGAAATCAACACAAAACAGAAGACTCTCCCCCATCAATAAATCTCAGCCGCAGAGCGGTAGATGCATGAGCATCAGTAGATCTCAGCCGCAGAGTTACAGACGTGAGCATCAGTAGATCTCAGCCGCAGAGTTACAGGCGTGAGCATCAGTAGATCTCAGCTTCAGAGCGTTACAGACGTGAGCATCAGTAGATCTCAGCCGCAGTGTTACAGACGTGAGCATCAGTAGATCTCACCGCAGAGCGTTACAGACGTGAGCATCAGTAGATCTCAGCCGCAGAGTGTTCCAGACGTGAGCATCAGTAGATCTCAGCCGCAGAGTTACAGACGTGAGCATCAGTAGATCTCAGCCGCAGAGTTACAGACGTGAGCATCAGTAGATCTCAGCCGCAGTGTTACAGACGTGAGCATCAGTAGATCTCAGCCTCAGAGTGTTACAGACATGAGCATCAGTAGGTCTCAGCTTCAGAGCGTTACAGATGTGAGCATCAGTAGATCTCAGCCGCAGAGCGTTACAGACGTGAGCATCAGTAGATCTCAGCCGCAGAGCGTTACAGATGTGAGCATCAGTAGATCTCAGCCGCAGTGTTACAGACGTGAGCATCAGTAGACCTCAGCCTCAGAGTGTTACAGACGTGAGCATCAGTAGATCTCAGCCTCAGAGTTACAGACGTGAGCATCAGTAGATCTCAGCCGCAGAGTTACAGACGTGAGCATCAGTAAATCTCAGCCGCAGAGTGTTACAGACGTGAGCATCAATAGATCTCAGCCGCAGTGTTACAGACGTGAGCATCAGTAGATCTCAGCTGCAGAGTGTTACAGACGTGAGCATCAGTAGATCTCAGCTTCAGAGCGTTACAGACGTGAGCATCAGTAGATCTCAGCCGCAGAGCGTTACAGACGTGAGCATCAGTAGATCTCAGCCGCAGAGTGGCAGAAAGAGAAAGCAGTAAAATGAATCTGGAAAGAAGGTAGCAGGAAGCCTTGTACAAACTGGGCATGGTGACACATGCTTTTAATCCCAGACTCGGAAGGCAGAGGCAGACGGGTCTCTATGTGAGTTCAAGGCCATCCTGATCTATAGAGAGTTGTCTAGAGCTAAAACTTGGAAATTAGAGCCTAGGTGGGGGTGATTTTGAGGAAACTTTAGGAGCAAATAAAAAAAACAGAAATGTTGGGAGAGGTGGTGCTGGTGGGCAGTGAGCTAACACTAGTGAATTAGCTTGGTGTGTCTGGGATGTAGCCCAGAATGGGCGGCTCTAAGTGATAATGGAGGTGTGTGGGCCACTGGTTTTCTGTCCCTTGCAAGCTTTGCTTGAGTCATTGCTGACACCTTCATTCACACTTTTGCATAATAAAATGGCACTTGGTTCTTCCAGAGAAGAGCCAGCTTAGTGAGTGTACATAAATACTTTCAGATCTTAGCATGGGAGGAATGTCTTAGTCTTTTCCCCTTATTATTAAATAACTGGTTTCACCCTCCAAAATGTAGACTTTGGAAAATACAGAAAATAGGAAGAAAGACGGGGGTTAGTGTTTAAAATGATAGTGTGCTATGTACCAGGCCCTGGGTTCAACCCACAGCACTACAGAAGACTGTACCAAGCAGAATTTAGAAGTCCCACATCATCTTTGTGTTCAGAGTCTGTGTAATATTTTACTACAAATCTGTTATATTTTTTATTTTTAATATGTGTGTGTTGCATGAATAGAGGTCAGAGAACAAACTGCAGGTTCATTTCTGTTCCTCCAGCATGTGGATCCCAAGGATTGAGCTCAGTCTTGAGGCCTGGTGGCAAGCATTTTTTACTGAACCATCTTGCTGTCTCTTGGTCACTTTAAAAAGCTGTCATTCTTCCTAAACTGTGTAATCTCTGGCTTTCAGCCAGTGTGTGTAATGTTGTCTCTTAAACATTTGGATTATTCTTTTTTTTCCCCCGTAGCCCAAAACACTATTTCTGTCCAGTGGTAGAGCAATTGCCTAGCATCTCAAGGCTCTGGGTTCAATCCCCAGTATTGTAAAAATAAAAACAAGGCTGGGCAGTGGTGGCTAACGCCTTTAATCCCAGCACTTGGGAGGCAGAGGCAGGTGTATCTCCCTGAGTTCAAGGCCAATCTGCTCTACAAGAGCTAGTTAGTTCCGTGACAGGTTGCAAAGCAACACAGAGAAACCCTGTCTCGAAAAAACAAAAATAAAATAAAAAATAAAAACAGATGCAGTATTTTGATGGTCATGCTTGGAAATTGATCTCTGTACAAACCTGTGAGCGTTTTCTGAAGTAGAGTCGGTAGGCCAGTGGAAAGCATGCTGATTGTTAGGCTACAGTTTGTAAAATTGTTGAGGTTGGGGGTTGCTACATTTGAGACAGTCCCATGTACCCAGACTGATGCCCAAGAGTTCCTGACTTCCTGCCTCTCAGTGCAGAGATTACAGGTATGTGCCACCATGCCTGCTACCAGATTGTCTTAAGAGAGATTATGTCACTGTTTGTCATCTCCCCTCCCCCAACCCCCATGTACAGTGTGCCTGTTTTCTCAAATCCTCACCTCTTTTCAGTCTTAATATTACTTTTTGGTTTTTGAGACAGTGTTTCTCTGTGTAACAATCCTGGCTGTCCTAGAACTCACTCTATAGACCAGGTTGGTCTCAAACTCATACAGCTTTGTTGTTTTTTGTTTTGTTGTTGTTGTTTTGATTTTCAGAGACGGGGTCTCTCAGTAACTTTGGAACCTGTCCTAAAACTAGCTCTTGTAGACCAGGCTGGCCTTGGTGCTAGGATTAAAGGTGTGCGCCGCCACCACTTGGTTTGTAATACTTATTTAAGTTGTTCTGTTACCAGTAAAGACTCAGGAATCAAGTGCCAGGTGTGAACCTGAGAGGTCAGAGAATCTAAAGGTGGAGGAGCAGCCAGCTGACCTCTCCACACTTTACCGATTGCAGAGCCACGAAATCGTCCCTCCGTATTCCTTCCTGTGCATCTTCTCTATTTGTATTCCTTACTTTCTAAGGCTTATTCCAGTTAGCTAATTGTTGACTTTGTCCCCAATTCAAGGTTAATATTAACACAGTCTCAGGGTGTCACAGTGTGATCAAAATCCTGCAGCAGAGATCCGCCCGCCTCTGCCTCCCGAGTGCTGGGATTAAAGGCCTGCGCCACCACTACCGGCCCATAACTGTCTTTACTGACAGTTTTTCTCCTTTTTGAAATTCACAATGAATTTGGAACTTCATGTGTATGCTATTAGGCATTTGCATATTCAGGTTTGGTTCTCACCTGGCTTACATCACAGGGGTGCAGATGGCACGAGCCATGAGTGTGGGGGCAGTCACCGTGCATTTCTCTACTTGGGGATGTGCTTGGAAAATGTGTCTGATACAGAAGTGTTTAAAATAATAGATATGTAATAGGTACATAGGAAATTTAGCCTATTTTTTCTCCTCAGAGATACATGTATGAACTGCTCTGGAATTTCCTTAATTTAAACTAGCAGCATAAGATGGGATGGAGATGTGATAAATGAGTTTTTATTGTCGTCGAGCTTGATGCTGTCTTTCTCACATTCGTGTAGCTGTTGCATCCGTTGCAGACTGATGTCATGGAACCTTGATCTTTAAAGTCAGGTTATGGGGGAGAGGTACACCTTAATCCCAGCACTCTGGGAGGCAGAGGGAAGTGACTCTCTGGCTTCCGGGATGTCCAGGGCTATATAGTGGCACCCAGTCTTTTCAAAGAAAGAAGGCAAGTGGTGGCAGTACATGCCTTTGATCCCAGAACTCAGGAGGCAGAGACAGGAGGATCTCTTTGAGTTCAAGGCCTGCCTGGTCTACAGAGCGAGTTCCAGGATAGCCAGGGCTGAACAGATTAATCCTTTCTTGAAAAGCCAAAATTAATTAATTAATTAATTGAAAGAAGAGTTGGGGGAGTAGAGTCATGGTTTCTCCTGTGCCACTATGGTAACTGCATCTGAAAGGTCATAAAAGACAAATGTCTTTCCTCCGTAGATGTCGAGCATACCGGAGCCACCAGCGAGTTCTATGACAAGTTCACCATTCGCTATCACATTAGCACTATTTTTAAGAGCCTTTGGCAAAACATAGCTCACCATGGCACCTTCATGGAGGAGTTCAAGTGAGTATTGGGCCCTGATGGCGCGTGCAGCTTGCTCGCTGGTGGGAGAGCTCAGGTGGGAGCCGCTGAAAGCTTTTGCAGCAGGTTCTGTGACTGCCTGGCTTCAGCCTCTTGCAAGGAGCCATGGGAACCGCTCAGTGTGGCCCCTATTCTAATTGTCTGCTTCCTCAAAGTTGTCAACCCTTGGAGTGGCTTACATGAGGGAATTTTCTGGGATATGCACATTACACATGTGAAGTGGTTCTTATGTTTTCTTTATTATATGCTGTTAAATGAAGCTGTCAGATTGACCCAGAAATGTTGAGAAAACAAGATTTAGAAGCACTTAGGTTTACTTGGTGTGCATAGGTGCCAAGCCATGTTAATAACTATTCATGTGCCTGCTTAAAACTGCAGGGCCTTGTTTAAGCCTGGCCCGTAGTAATTCCTCTGAAGGAAGAAAGGCGAGTACAAACATCAAACCCTTGTGTTATTCTTCAAAGGAAGTTTTGTCCGTCCTGTGTCAGATCTTGATCAACTCTGTCTACCTTGTGTTAACTGCAGCTTCCCTGCCTGCAGGGTAGCTTCTCCCAGGTAAACTAAGTTAAGCTGCTCTTCGGATCTGTTAGGTTCCAGGCAGTCCCCAGCTTGTGCTCGATGGTGCTCTTTGGAAATGAATGTCCTAGTGTCCCCACATTCCTGAGACTGAGGCCACCCACCTGTCCTTGTTCACAAAGTTCCCTCTTCCCCAGCATGGGCTTTCTACCCATAAGTACACTTGGTGGGTCCTGTGTGGGTCTTCTCTTTTGCCACAAATTTGTTAGTTTCAGAACTTAGCAGGTAGGCCAGGCTGTTCCAGTTCACCATGGTGTAGTCGACAGGGTCTCCCTAGACCTGCAGCTTTGGCTTCTATGCAGTGAGTCCCTATCTTCCTTTACCAATGTGACAGGACTTATTTTTGTCTGTCCATCTTCTCTGCGATAAGGAATCGCTCTCCGTAAGTAATTTCTTGTCTTCTGTGTTGGGTGAGTCTGTGCTGGCTTTGTCACACCGAGTCAAGCTCATTCCCTTCCCAGCCTGGGAGAGTGTGTCCTCTACTTACAAACACTGAGCAGTGAGCTGGCGTTATGCTGTGAGCAGGAGGAATTCCAGCATTTGCTGCTTCTCTGTGGTATAACTGTATACATTGTTGCCAGATATAAACTGCCAAGGAAATCAGCAGAAAACATTCTGGAATATTTAGCAGTTGGTTCATACCAGTCATACAGGGCTGGTCCAGCATGCTACTCGAAAGAACTTATCACAGTGAATTAGGAAGAATAGTAGGGCTGGAGTTTGGTGGCTCACGACTGTTGTCCTACCTCTGTCGTGCTGAGGCAGGAAAGTTGTTTGAGATCAGCCTGAGGCTGTGTAGACCCTTAAAACAAAACAAAACAAAACAAAACAGCAACAAGAAAGACAATAGCAAAGTCTAAGGAGAGTTGATGTGTATGTATGTGCTGGGCCTGCAGTCTCCCAGGTGATCCGGTTGGTGCTTGGCAGAGGCTCACGTTCTCAGTGACCGGCCACATGTGTAACCACGCTGTCTCACTGCCTTTTCAGTTCTGGAAAGCAGTTCGTCCGCTACATCAATATGCTGATAAACGACACGACCTTTCTGCTGGACGAGAGTCTGGAGTCGCTGAAGCGGATCCATGAAGTGCAAGAGGAGATGAAGAACAAAGAGCAGTGGGACCAGTTGCCTCGGGTAGGGCGGCCTTAGTGCTTGCACAGCGCTGCAGTGTGCGCCTGGGGCTGGCTCCGGGACTGCTCCTGCAGGGCTGCCTGGAGACACCAGATCTCAGTTGCTAGGACTTTCCTACCTGTAGACTTCCACGAAGTACCATTTCAGGTTTGAGCTAGGAGATAGCTTCCTAAAAGTTTTCTTCAGAAGCTAAGACTGGGGTGGAGGGTGTGGCTCAGTGGTCAAGTCAGTGGTCAAGGGCTTGCCTAACTTGCTTAAGTCCTGAATTTGATCCTTAGTTCTGCCCCTAATCCCTGGGGAGAAAAAGTTCATTTTGTGCTTGAGTTTCAGGCAAGAATGTTCCTTACTATCCTCAGACTGGCTGTCAGGCCTCCCCTCAAAGCCAGATTCTCATTTTCAAAAACAGTCTTGTGTGGAGAACTAGAGAGGTGACTCATCAGTTAAGAGCTCTTACTCCTCTTCCCGAAGACCCAAGTTCAGTTCCAGCACCCTCATCTGGCAGTTCACTGTGCCTTTAAGTCATCTCTGATGGTTCACGCCTTCTGCACACATGTAATGCACAGAAATTCAAGACACACATATATGTAGAAACAAAAATTTATGTATGTGTCAGTATATAATTTCAGAGGGTGAAGGTAAAGTTCAGAAGTAGGACACAGGCTTGTCCTGCGGGGATGTTCTGGATTCTAAAGCCTCCTGTTACAGGGAGAGCAGGTCCCTTTGTTTATCCCGCCCGCCTGGCTAGCTTACACCTGAGATAATCACACAGAAACTGGGGCTGGAGAGATGGCTCAGAGGTTAAGAGCACTGCCTGCTTTACCAAAGGTTCTGAGTTCAATTCCCAACAACCACATGGTGGCTCACAACCATCTTTAATGAGATTTGGTGTCCTCTTCTAAGCATGCAGGCCTACATGCAGGCAAACACTGTATACATAATAAATAAGCATATATTTTAAAGAAAAAAAAATCACACAGAAACTGTATTCATTTAGACACTGCCTGGCCCATTAGCTCTAGCCTTTTTTTGGCTAACTCTCACGTCTTGATTTAACCCATTTCTAATAATCTGTGTATCACTGTGAGGTCGTGGCTTACTGGGAAAGATTCAGCATGTCTGACCTGGTGGCTCCATGGCAGCGTGCGCTCTCTCTCTCTCTCTCTCTCTCTCTCTCTCTCTCTCTCTCTCTCTCTCACACACACACACACACTCTCTCTCTCTCTCTCTCTCTCTCTGCTTTTTTCCTCACAGAATTCAGTTCTGTCTTCTTCACCTACCTAAGTTCTGCCCTATCAAGCCAAGCAGTTTCTTTATTAATTAGCCAATGAAAGCAACACACAAACGGAAGGACCTCCTATACCAGCCACCAACATATTTTTAATATAAAATCTTAAATCCAAAAAATGAGAAATGAGGAGCTTTTCCCAATGCATTGTGGACACTTCCCTTGCCTTTTAGTTAAAGGACTGTTTAGAGGAATGTTTATTTGTGTGTGTTTTGACTTGTGTGGTAGCCAGGAAAGAAATCTCCAGGCTTCTCTCTGCTGGGTTTGTTCACATGGCTGAGAATCTCCTAGGATTCTGTTGGAGCTTTTTCTTGGTTTTCCCATTCCGTTACTGTTAGAAAAAGGCCTAGTTGCCAGGTTCCATGATAAATTCATGCTGTGCCAGTAAACGTCCACTGCCCTCTTCTGACACCTAGCAGACCCTGACAGCTCCTAGGAATATCATAAATGGGTTGGCTCAGAGTCAGAGTCGCTTCCCCTAGGGTCTGCCCTTTGAGAGACCTGTGGCAGCCTGAGCTCACAGTGACAGTGCTGACATCCTGTCATACGTGTCTTCACTGTAGGACACTGAAGGGCATTTAAGGGACCATCCCCCCCCCCCCCCCCCCCCCCCCCGCGCGCGCGCGCTCCGTTCCCAAGGTGGAGTATCATTGTGACCCCGGTTCCTGGTTGGCCTGGAGCTCACAGAAATCCCCTTGCCTCTGCCCTTTAACATTAAAGGTATGTACTACCATACCCCAGTTTAGGGAAGCTTTTGATTACAAGTATTCCTGCAGCTTTGATGAGAATTTCACATCTTGTTCTACCTGGATGTCCACGACTGCCTGGCTCCCTGTTTCCCTGTCCCCACAGCCCTTGCCTCCGACACTGTTGAGTTAGTGCAGCTTTTCCACTGGATCACGTTTGCCCCACTGTGTGTCTTCTGCCTGTTGCTCCGGCTCATTTCTAGACACTCCTCATCTGTTTGCTCCCATCTCTCTTGGGGTAGAATCTACGCGGCCCTGCTGCCCTGTACCTTCCCAGTGTGCCCTAACTTCTAATCAGGCTCCAGACTGTTGAAACCATCCTGAGAAACCAGATAAGGCAAATCAAAAGAGCCTCAGCTCTTCCATTCGAGGTGGGCTGGGTCTGTGACCTACAAGGACATTGTAAGCAGTATAGCCCAGGACAGACCTAGCCTTCAGTGTGCAGTGTTATAGTGTTTCATTGGTCTTCCCAAGCATCAGATGTCCTGTCCTTAATGTGTGAGAATACTCCCCATTCTGTCCAAACCCAGCCGAATGGTTGGCTGTACGCAGTCAGTGTCCTGCATGGCCCCACCTCACTTGACTTCCTCTTCAGTACTTGTCCCGTGCTGCCTAGTGGAGACCTCTTAGAGGTTGGTTTCTGGGCCTGAAGCACACTCCTTTATCCTAGTCAGTGCATTTATTTGAGACAACAAATACTGCTGATTCTTCTCTTAATGGGTTTTTAAAGGCACAAATGTCTCGAAGGTGCTTTTTTACAAACAACTTTTCCTTGAGCTTTGATCCAAGGTTGCTGCCCGCCTTCCACTTCCTCATCCCCCAGCCTCTGAGCAATGGTAGATTTAGGGCTCAGTCCTCTGCTTCTTCTAAGTGTTCCCCACCCCTCCCCTGGGTAGTGTTTCTCAGTGGGGTACCGGCAGGATGCTGAAGAATATTGAAGCTTTGATATCTGATGTCGTAGCAAACTCTAATAAGCAACTGTGCCTGACACTGTTCATTTCACAGCAGTGATGTGTCTGCCCGTGTTATCCTGCCTCTGTCATCATTATACCCCAACCCCTCCCAACACACTAACCCTCCACTCCTCACACAGCCAAATACACCTGCACATTCTCTGATGACTCTGCTTGAAGTCCCTGCCAGGTGATCTCATCTTTTCCAGTGCTATTTTAAAGACTGCAAGTGCAGCTCCACTGCCGAGAGCACTTCTGCCCCAGACCCTGACAGTGCAGCTCCACTGCCCACAGACCCTGACAGTGCAGCTCCACTGCCCCAGACCCTGACAGTGCAGCTCCACTGCCCGCAGACCCTGACAGTGCAGCTCCACTGCCTGCAGACCCTGACATTGCAGCTCCACTGCCCACAGACCCTGACAGTGCAGCTCCACTGCCCGCAGACCCTGACAGTGCAGCTCCACTGCCCCAGACCCTGACAGTGCAGCTCCACTGCCTGCAGACCCTGACAGTGCAGCTCCACTGCCTGCAGACCCTGACAGTGCAGCCCCACTGCCTGCAGACCCTGACAGTGCAGCTCCACTGCCTGCAGACCCTGACAGTGCAGCTCCAGTGCCGAGAGCACTTCTGCCTCAGACCCTGACAGTGCTGGCTGGCTCTGCCGTTGGGCTGTGCATGAGTCTCTCAATCCTGGCTTGTCCATGTTGTCCTTTAAATCTCCTCTCTGAGTTCCAGTCAACAACCGTAACAAGTGGCAGCTTCATTCTACTGAATGCTGGGTCACCTTGTTTCTCCTCTGCTCCCTCCCCCATCTGGAGGCTCTTTTATCTCCGTGAACTAAAGCTCTCACTGGTAGAGCGCTTGCCCTACATGCATGGAGCTTTGGGTTAAACTGGATATGGTTGTATCCCTGCCGTTGGCAGTACTCCGGCTGCCGAGGCAGGAAGGTCAGTAAGGGTGTATGTGGCCTTTCTGCTGTCTTCGTCACTATTCTGTTTGGTCTTGGTACTTGCAGTACAGTCTTGGGCTCCCAGCCTCCACCCTTTCTGGTGCACATAGCATAGGGATACCCCCTCTGATCTCACCCCACTTCTACACTGGCTTCTCTGCACTTGCTGTCCCCTCTTCCTGCAATGCTGTGCATCCAGACTGTTGTGACCCCAATACCACTCTTCTCTCCCCAAAGCCTCTCTAATCCTTCACCATCACTGTCAGCCTTTCTGGCTGTCTGGTTGAAGGGTGTGTTAGGAGTTTCTGTTTTTGTTTTTTTGTTTTGTTTTGTTTTGAGGCTGGGTTTCTCTGTGTAGCCCTGGCTGTCCTGGAACTCACTGTGTATACCAGGCTACTCTTGAATTTAGAGATCCTGCCTCTGCCTCCTGAGTGCTGGGATTAAAGGTGTGCCCTACTGCCACCCAGCTCGGGTTTTTTGTTTGATTGATTGTTTTTCAAGACAGGGTCTCTCTCTGTGTAGCCCTGGATATCCAGGAAGTCACTCTTTAGACCAGGCTGGCCTCAAACTCAGAGGTCCGCCTGCCTCTGCCTCCTGCATCCTGGAATTAAAGGTGTGCGCTGCCACCACCACCACCAGGCTCCAGCCAGCTTATTTTTATACTTTTGGTTGTGAGCCTAGCCTTTGACCTTAGATGTTTGTAAAATGGAGATTGTGTGTTTCTGTAGCACATGTTACAGTGCTGTAATTTGCAAAACACAAAGTTTATTTTTTAAATTTAAATAAAAACATATGAACCAAGAGCTGGAGAGTTGACTCAAGCTTGTCTCCCAGCATCCACATGCCACCTTACAATTGTCTGTAACTCCGGGTCCAGGGGATCCAGCACCCTCTTCTGACCTCCACGGGTACACAGTTCACTGACATTCATCTAGGCATAATATGCTCACATTAAAAAAATCAGTAAAATGTGCATATATAGATGGGTGGGTGGATGAACTGGTTTGCTATTTCTCTCATCTTAGAAGAATTACCTTTTATAAATGTAACTGTGAGGTGGTTTTGTGAGGTCTGCTGCTTAAATTTAGGGATGAAAAAGAAGGGCTAACACAGTTATACTCAAGGCCACACACATTCTGGCCCTAAACACAAAAGGTTTGTTGTTATGTCGTCTTTGAGGTGTCTTTTGTTACAGCACTCGTCTCCATAGGTGATTTTGTGTGATCAGTTGTAGTAAAGTTGCAGGCTTCTAGCTGGTTGTAAATAAGTGTTCCCCTAATTTTCCTTGTCTGTCTTGCTCCAGCCTACGTCAGAGCCCACAGAGTGTTTACAAATGGAGGAGCTGGCACTCAGACTGACACCGAGGACACTGAGGCCTTGCTCTCCCTGTGTCTTTCCTGATGCAGCCTTTTCTCAATAGGCTCATTCTAGACCATGGAGAGCTGGGCAGCTCCCCATTCTTACTGCAGAGTCTCTGCCAGGCACGGACTGTAGCACCAGGCCCAGGGGTGCTCACTGGCCTATATCAGTTATTCCAGATGTTTGCCCTGACCCTCCCCTGGAAAAAAAAAAGGCCTGGAAGCTGTGTGGTAGCACACAATTGTAATTCTACTGCTTAGGAGGTGGATACAGCGAGGTCCTTGGGGCAAGTTAGCCTTGCCTACTTGGCAAGTTCCAAGCCAGTGAAAGAAACTGTTTTTAAAAAAAAAAAAAAAAAAAAGATATGTTGGGAATAGTCCAGGAGTAAGACATAAGGTTATTCTCTGGCCTTAACTTTGCATTACCTATACATGTGAACATGCACACACAGATCTGCTAAACTGAGTGTAGTGGCGTGCACATGTGATCTTGTAGGATGAGAACTTCCAGGTCTTCCTTAGCTGTGTCTTCCTTCCTTTGGTGGTCAGCCTGTGTTGCGTGGGACCCTATCTCAAAAAATGACTAAGTCTTAGCTGATGAGCTGGCTACAAAGCTTTCATTGCTCTACCGATTTCCCCCATGAATCAAAGTCTATTTATTACCTTATTTCCTGGTCTGTGGCAGGATGGAGGCAAAGGATGGTGCTGTAGGTAAGCATGCTGGAGCTGTACAGAACGGCAGCCTGACGGTGCCGGGTCTCGCAGTTCACATAGTAGCCGTAGTGAAGGCACTTAGGTATATGTTTGCCTACATGTGCAAGCTTACACCACATGCATACTTGGTACCTGTGGAGTCCAGGAGGCCTCAAATCCCTTGGAACTAGAGTTACGGGTGGTTGTGAGCCACCATGTGAGTGCTGGCAATTAAACAAGGGTCCTCTGCAAGAGCAGCCAGTGTTCTTAGCCACTGAGCCACCTCTCCAACCCTAGTCTCAATATTTTTAATGTTGATGACTAAGTGAAAGTTGTTTGTAAGGGGAGTGAACCCTCTCTGTAGCTCGAGTGTGTGTGTGTATCAGGTACTCCGATAGTCTGAGTCATCCTTCCTGGAACTCAGTGTGGCCGTTCTCATGAGGTCAGTTATAGTAAGGAGGTCGCTTATATGTTTCCTGACTGCTCAGCCCTGAAATAATCACACAGAAACCATATTATTTGCAATACTCTTTGGCCAATAGCTTAAGTGTATTTCTGGCTACCTCATATCCTAAACTAGCCCATCTCTATTCTGTGCATCGCCACATGGCTGTGGCTTCCTGGGTAAAGTTCTGCCTGGCATCTTTCTCTGGGAGGCCCGTCTACCTAACTTCTGCCCTTTCAACAGGCCAAGGCAGTTTCTTTATTCACCAGTGATATTCACAGCATACAGAGGGAAATCCCACAGTCAGTAACAGGCCAGGGCTGGGGGTGTAGGTCAGTGGTAGAGCCTGTGCTTAGCATGTGCCAGGTCCTGGGTTGTAATCCAACGCCACCCACCATACTACGTGTCTAGAAGGCTGTCTGGACAGTGTACTGGTGGTGTGGTCATTTCCTCCTTCCCAGAGTACTGTGGCTTTATTACAATCTAGATTGTAAGCCAGCCATGTTTTTCCTTTGCACTTGACATTTTTATGAGCAGGTGGCTGGTACTGAAATTTCTTTGGCAACCATTTGGTGTTTCCTAGGATCAGCAACAGGCCCGGCAATCTCAGCTTTCTCAGGATGAGCGCGTTTCACGATCTTATCTCGCGCTGGCGACTGAAACCGTGGACATGTTCCATCTCCTCACTAAGCAAGTCCAGAAGCCGTTCCTCAGACCAGTGAGTAGAAACTGGGGTGCTTGTGTTATCTTTGGGGTGACACATGCAGCACTTAGAACTCAGCACAATTGTTAATTTTAACCACAGCAATCAGTGGTGAAATTCTTTCTAATTTTGTTCTATCAGTTGATAACACATTACGTGCTATTCTACCCGTCTAAAATGAGACCCCTTAACATGTACTCAAATGCTGGCTTCTAGGTGGCTTGCTTTTTTCTATTTACACAACACTGGATTATGGGTTTGTAACACAATTTTATTGTTACTGATTTCTGGTTTTTTTTGTATCATAAAAGTATAATGGAGGACATTAAGTAAAATGATTGATAGATGTCTTGGATG